TTGAATAAAAATTTCCTTGGATATTATCCATCGTCTAGTAAATATAAAACGTAGAAAACGACGTTTCGGAGATGGGACTCTATCTCCGTCTTCAGGTTCCTACACAGTTGGGCCCACTAGATAGAGCTAATCCCTATCTCCGGAGATAGAGTCCCATCTCCGAAACGTCGTTTTACGTTTTATATTTTACTAGACGATGGATAATATCCAAAAATTTTATTCAATTGGTCCTTTTTATTAATTCCACAGATTTCATTAACATGCACTTGGACACAGATTTAAACACTGTTAAAACATCGACTTCTGTTCCAAAATCTTGCATTTTTTTTAACAGGTAGTAGAAATAATTTCCTTTCATTTGATGCAGAATTCTTCATTGTTATGCTCAGATCCCTACCAGTTGCTAAACGCCGCGAGCAGTCGATTGGTCGCCCAAGGTTCTGGTCAGATCCAATTGTGGCAGTTTCTGCTGGAACTGCTCAGCGATTCGTCGAATGCAAGTTGCATCACTTGGGAAGGAACCAATGGAGAATTTAAACTCACTGACCCAGATGAGGTTGCGCGGAGGTGGGGGGAGCGAAAGTCCAAACCTAACATGAATTACGACAAACTCAGCAGGGCGCTCAGGTAAGAAACAACATGGACGCTGTCAATTACATCCGGCATTCTTTCCTTTTCAGGTAAAAATATACGAAAATATGCTCTTTCATACATCACAGTCACATGTTTTGACAGTTTTTATACCAACAGGCACTAAAATATTACGCAGCTGCTGTTAATATCTCGCTCAGAAACTTTTTTTTAATCATAACTTGACTTCAGTGCACAATATCGTTTGTACACACCCTTATTTTATATAACAAAATCATTTATTACATTTTAAAAACGAAGACTTTATAACGAAACTTGAAATATTTAAAGAACAGTTGTTACAACTCAAAAGACCATCGTCACCCACGTGACAACCTCAAATGTCACAAATTATATGCAAATGTCATGAAAAATCTTCTGTAATGCAATGTGACTCATTAAGTCAACTTATCGTTATTGGATTAAAAGTCCCACTTACAGAAAACTTCAAAGAATTTAATTTGTCCTCACACATGACTTTAAGTGTTAATTTTCAATGGAACTTCTTCTAATATAAAATAAAGTCGTTAATTGTTAAATTATTAATTTAATTATTCGTGTTTTTTTCCGTCTAATCACAATTGTGTATAAATAAAATTATACATAAGATATTAAAATATCATTTACATATTTGGTACAACTTTTTACTACATGTTTCGGTTACATTGAACCATCTTCAGGTGTAAAGTTAAAAGTTAAAAATAAAGAATCAAGATTCGCCCCATCACGTTTCTCTAGATTTAATTTCAGCTGTAAAATGCAGTCCAGAGCATCGGTCATCAGAAAAAGACTTTGTTTGTACTGCATCGATTTTTTAGAAGATTTTGGTCCAAATGACGGCAAAACAGTGAATGGCACAATACAATAGACGAAACGTTCCTTGGTCAACCCTGAGTTGGGAATTTCCAGCAACCTGCACTCACGACGACGTATTTCAATAGGTTAGGCTGTTTGCAGTCTATCCTGAGCGATGACCTTAGCAATAAACCAAGATATTGGGTGGTCTCTGCGGTTAGATTTAAGGAGTGGCAAAATGAGTAATGAAACGTGTTGTAATGTAGGCCTTAGCCATTTCATGGAATTGTAAAAGTACAGGGCGAGATGGCCTTTCAAAATATTTATTAATCTTCAATTACACTGGGCTATGGTCTATGTTTTGAATGGCGAGATTCAGGTTCTCATGGCCGCTAATATGAAGATGATTTGTCTTCTGGGATGTTGCGTTTACATACATTTCAGAGGTGCTTACTGCGATGAGTCATGATGGAGGCTGTAAGAACCTCTGAAACGTCATTAAACTTCTATCTCACAACATGGCGCAACATCCCAGAAGACGGACATCTAATGCTTCGAGTGTTCACCGTGGTCATTTCATCGAAAGAGCTAAAACACAGAGTTCACAAGCTGATGATGAATTATTTTTATTCCCCTTTGGTCTCAAGATAACCTGGACTGATATAGGCCTAATCTATACGGAAGGCATGTCAAGGAAAATAATTCCGGGGAATTATTGTCCTTCTCATCGATAAAATTCTAAATAAGAAGGCACTACAATGGGCCTGTGCTTAAGCCTAAATTTAAAATGGCATTTTACGCGGAATAATACTAGTTTAAATTAAAAATATAATAATATACCTAAATATAAAATACAATCTTTAATTTTCTAATATAAATATCGAATTGCATCGACGAATAAAATTATTTTATTGTGAACAGACTTACGTTTAAGGAATTTTATTGCAAATCCTCAATATTTAAAGCCCGTATTTTGACAGGTTATGAACCGCGGGCATGTGGTTGGAGATCCCTGCTTTAATTTATACTAACGGCTTTTGAATGATTATGGCCAGTTCTTATTTGAATAGGCTGCATTACAGATAAAATGACGAAATCGGACGATTGTATTAAACCCGTACTATACAACCCCTAAAATTAGATTAAGCAATCCCAGAACCGTTCGGAGCTGTGATCAGTCTGAACATTCACTTGACTTTAATAAATTTTTGTTTCGCAGGTATTATTACGACAAAAACATAATGACCAAAGTCCACGGGAAACGTTACGCTTACAAGTTTGACTTCCACGGGCTGATGGCCGCGTGTCAGGCCCAGGCGCAGGGTAACAGCGGGGGAGACCCTACGATGAGCTACGCGAAGTACCATCACCATCAGAGCGACCTGGGGGCTGCACTGTACCCCGCACATCACCATTCTCCGGGAAAACTATCGTCCATTCTGCCCCCACCGCCACCCGGGGTAGTGCCACCCGCCACGCCGTTCCCTGCGCCACCGTATTGCTGGACCACTGCAGCGGCAAATGCTGCCGCATCTGCGGCTAGCTTTTCGACAATTTACTCGGTGGCCACAAACAGCATGCATCACCCGCCTGGAGTAGCGAGGTATCAGTATCCTAACTCCACGCCGAACTGAGACAACGAAGTGGAGGATTTGTTCCTCCGCTACGTACAGCAACGTCTGATCTAACGGGCGATACTTTTATTCGGGGGTCGGATGGGGTCACCGCGGACCGGGATGTCTGACAAAGAAGTATTCGCAAGGCTACGGCTATTCAAAAACGGTAACACATCTGTCCATTTTCGTTTGACGTAATACATACGAATTTGCATCAAACTTATTAATAATCAATACGTGCATAAGATCCTAAACTCTGATTGGCGCTCTCACGAATTAGGCCCACATCTAATCTCGGGTGGACCTCACTCTAATTTCACATTTCAGTTACAGGATAACTTACATGTCTGAAGAAAATGTCGATTTCTTGCTATTAAAAAAACACTCTGTGTGGGCCTTCTACGTACGAGAAATTATAAATTAATAAACGGCATTGTTATTATAACATCCGAACAACGGCTCAGGATGGACTTAATATTTTCAATCTTGAAAAAAAAAATCAGTTATTATTTAAGGGTTTGTTCTTTCAGCAGAATGGGATAAAAGATTTGAAATAAACTCCGAAGACAATTATATCATTATCAAAATAATTACCCTTCAGTGACACTGTAAAGTGTTCCTTTGTACCACATGTGGAAGTTTCCTACACGCTTTAGTTGATACGTTTATGGACAAATTTTAACGACCGTCAATGTAACCCTATCAGCCCCTAACAGTAGTTATCAGGCCGCGTGTCCTATTATTTACTTGATTATGTCACAAGTAAAGTCATTAGAGAACACACATAAATTTGCCTCAACTACTGTAAATTCGCTGTTTCTAACGCTCCGTTATATCATTCTAAGGTAAGTTATATTTATCAATTTCTACCAGACTACAAAGTGTACCATCCCATAATACACTCATCTTCAAGCATATATTTCAATATCACGAGACTCAAGATTAAATTATTGTAGTAACTCAACGAATATTAAATCTGTAGCCCAATTAGTACGTTTACAACCGTCAATATAAATTAATGTCAACCAATAGACGCCCTAAAAATTGTTGAAGTATAAATACAGAATCACCTCTTCAGGCCACTTTACGTTATAATTTCAACTGTTCTGTACCGTCTCATTTTTCTAATTAGAATTCCCTTTCTCGGCAAGAGGCCTGCATATCAAATCTAAAACTTCTTGACGATGGTGAAGAGTCAATTGAATAAAAATTTTCTTGGATATTATCCATCGTCTAATAAATATAAAACGTAAAAACGACGTTTCGGAGATGGGACTCTATCTCCGTCTTCAGGTTCCTACACAGTTGGGCCCACTAGATAGAGCTAATCCCTATCTCCGGACCAAAAGATAGAGTCCCATCTCCGAAACGTCGTTTTTACGTTTTATATTTATTAGACGATGGATAATATCCAAGAAAATTTTTATTCAAGAGGCCTGCAGCTCTTACAAAGATATCAGAATTGGGTATGTCCCTGATACACCTACTCGTTTCATTGATTCCACTTTAAATACCATGGAGATGCACCTACATAATCAATGCGAATTTAGATTCGTTAAAAAGGAATATTTCATTCACTACCTCATTCAAAGCCAGCGAATTAGGAAACGAATCACAATTTTACTCACCATTGGTGATATTTGCCCATTTGCTATTATATTGTAAATAGAATCCAACCTAGTTATACAAGGTTGTACGTACATAGTAAATAAGGAAGTGTCTTCTTTATAAAATGATAATGAATTCTATGCCAATTTATACGACATGCATTCACCCAATTTGACCTGTAATTCAGCTGTATTCTATCGTTGAACCGTAATAAATTATTGCACGACTACACATTATATCACGAAATTCTGGTATGGAATACCATCAGACGATTCGTATATTTGACCAAAGAATTACATGCCAAGGTATTTATGAACGAAAGAAAATAGTACTATTTTTCTCTGAATGTCTTTGGCGTACTGTTTTCATTGTTCTGGAATTGTCTCCATCGCCTTAATAAATCTTAAAACGATCACTACGTACGGGAGGATTCATCTTCCTTTGTCTTCAAGTTAAAAAGGGGACGCCTATTCTATTAGGTCTGGAATACTGAGCTGTTCCCAATATTGCCAGCAGATGATAGATAAGTCAAAAACAAAGAAATCAGTAGGCCAATACTTAAACATTGTCTAGCAGATCAGTCTCATTCAACATTGCAGTGGTCTGAGAGTTAAACAGTTCCCATTCGCTGGCTACACGCAGTATAGCGCGGAACCAGGATTTCTGCTTACCGACTCCAGGGTATTAACGACAGGCTGGTCCTTAGTGCGACTCTTTCAACAGTTTCAGAAACACTGAATGAAACCACCCCAATGGACCTTACGAAACCATTCTATTGGATACAAACTAACAAATCAACGAAGGTCAATATTTGGTTGTCGTAATAGAGTCCAGAGCCAATGAGACCTGCGTTTGTAACAAAATCAAATAGAACTGTGACATATATTAAGGAGAATACAACTTAAAAAAAAAATAGAAATTTGGATTAATAAACGAAAACTAAATGCAAAAATAAAGGCAAATTTAAGGCAAGAAGATGGCTGTTCTTTACTTTAAAACTAAACTACATTCTAATTTTAATTTAAGAGTTTTCCACATGGGGAGAAATAGAATATGTTTAATAACTAAGACACAATAACTTTCGATTTCTTGCCAGTCTTGGGATCCATGGTGCAACAATTCAACCACTATGACTTTTGTTTCAAACTAAATTTAAAATACCCAACCAAGCCATGAAAAATCTTTTCACCTGAAATTTAGCTGGTGCAAAGATTTGTTATAAATAACTTGATGTTAGATTAAAGCAATTACTGCAGTGGGTTCCGGAGTTTGAAACCCTATCTAAATAAAATGAGTAACTTCTTTCATGTAAGACAGCAGAAACCTCGTTTTGTTTGTAAATAGATTAATACTGCCGTCATGTAAATACACCACCTTTCCTTGATTAGGCCAATGTCATGTATCCATCTAAATAAAAATTTAAACAATTTCCTTTATGTAAGATCGATATGTAAGTCTATTAAACATCCATCATTTTATATTCTTGTTTGTAAATAAGTAAATACTACTGTTGTAATGTAAATAAAGCAACTTAAAATGCAACAAGCCAAAACGTTTCCTTTCATCTCATTACTTTACATTCAGTACTTGCCTGGATCAATTTATGTTTACTTCACCAAAGGCACTGCTACAATGCGACAGTCAGTTTCTTCGTCAAGATGAAATACATTGAGAACGTCTCCAAAAATATCTGATACCACAAACTTATTCCTTGCACCACTTATCTCAGACGTAAATCCAACAAATGTTGGATGAAGCTCTGATTACTACTGTTTAGAGTAAGTTGAACATATTATGATCGACGAGATAACACTGAATCGATTATAGTGACAATCGAAACGCTGTAGTCCGGTCGGTATCATTTCCAGCGACTTCAACTATCCCTGCTGTTAGCAAGTAACAATTCCTAACATAAAACGGGGCACGATTAAACAACGTCACGGGTGAGTGGTTATGACTCCTGCTTCACATTCAGGACGCCTAAAGTCTGAGCAAATGTTGTTAAAGTATATCACGAACAAATAAATACAGGCACACCATTAGAACGATAACATATTCGCATACATTTACCGTTCCTATGAAGTAAAATACGACTTCTCTTAAAACTGCAAACCTTCTACAAACATACAAACACCGAAGTTAAGAATGTTGCAGGCCCTAAAGACTGAATACACATTATTACATGAACATAGCGGACGGATACCGCTACTTGTGGTCGTTTTGTTGACTTTCTTGTAACAGCCCTCGTAATAGTTGCAAACACCACTCTCGACACACACACGCGAGAAAATTGTGTCGTTAAACCTAGAAGACTTACAAATTGTGATCTTCGGCAAAAATTGATACATTATAACCGCTAATTACTCGTAAATGCAGGTTTTCTTAAGATTACAAACATCATTCAAAGGAATTAAAGTAAATTAAATTGTACTTCCACGATGCAGGAAATTTGAAACCAAAATATTGCGCACTTCTCAACATCACATTCCTTACAAGTAACCTGTGACATCTATGAGAGGTTACAAAACTTGCCGGATGAAATACGTGGCTGGCTACTGCATTCTCACTCTTAAAATGTTACGATGAGAAAGTGAATGTTTATTGCCTTGCAGATTCAAATACAGCCAATGGGATATTTATCTGTGTCAATGTAATTGAAAATACAACCGGCCAGACACAATCAGCCAAGGGCAGAAACCCCAGTTTCTTGCACACTGGGGCGTTTAAACTATGAGGAAAGTGAGGTTAGGACCGACACCCGACAAATGACTGGTGAATTAAGTTTCATACAGGAATATTGACAGCATTACAAAGGCAAGTTAAAAAAGCATGCGGATCGAATGTGAAAATCCAAAAGCCAATTTGTACCGCACGTCCCTAGGGAAAAATACATACATACATTCATTCATTCATAAACAGTCATCATTGATATCACATGGCAATGCGTACAGCACGTTCTAACATCATATCAAGTCAATGGGCCACAAGACACTTCAACTCCTCCACAAAATTCACACTTAGCTCCCAGCAACATTTGTGCCGAAGACGTCAATGGATGCTAGAAACTTGAAAATGATCAACAGGTTCATCAGTGCATCCATTATTTCTTTTGGACGCTTAAAAGAACTTTAACCGTCGGGTTTCTGAAGCTTGTACAGGAATTAAAAAAATGGGTCGTACTGCAGGTTAATTAGACACAAATAAAGGAGAAAACTCTTGCGATACATTTACAAGATACAAAATAAAATAAATTTATCATTCACTTCTTTTCACTCTAAAATTGATCTGTCCTGATTTACAATAGATAATTATTCTTACATTCCATCTCCATCACATGTTCATCACTGACCACAATACAAACTTAATTGTTATTCTAAATAAATAAATATTTCCTCGAAACATGGCACATTAAGATTTCTGTCTTCTGGGTTGTGGTGCCGTGTAGTCTGGTCAATGTTCATCGCCCTGATGATGGAGGTAGTATGACCTCAGAAACGGTAAACATCTACCAGACTACACAGCGCAACAATCCAGAAGACAGAAATCTTCATACTCACCGCTGCGAAAACCTCAAACCTCACATCGTACATTAAATTCTTCCGGCCAGTATCGGCTATTCTCTCAATCAACAACAAATGCAAGACCACAAATTCATATGAGACTGGGCTGAGGGCACAATAAGTTAAAAATGTAAATAAAGAAGAACTGGCGCAGAATCTTTTATTTCACTAGTGCCAGCTTTTCTGCTTTTGATAGTTCCGTTCCTAGACTCTTAAATGGCTACTACAACAAAATATATAAAGAAATTTAAATAAATTACTGTATTTGTGACGTCTTGCATCAACGCTGTCGAAAGGCATTCAGGAAAGCGCTGGTAGCTTTCTGCAACGCACCTACTCAGTATCCGAGGGCACGACAGAAATTAAGTAAGAAGTCGAGATAAATTAAGTTCTGATCATCGGTTTTAAACTTCAGAGGAAAATACATATATCTAAACATACCTATATTATCTGTGATAAACTTCGTTACGTATCACATTTTAGCTACTCATTTAAAAATTCTATTTACAGTTTGGAAATAATGTTTACATTTGAAGATTATGTACCAAAAGACGCCCAGCTAAAATCTGCCCTTCTTATCCGTACATGAGGCATGTGAATTAACTTTATTCACTATTTATGTACGAATCCGTTACCACGTATCTGTATTCACGGAGTCTTCAGCCGATGTCAGCCATCTTTCCCTTTCAATTGTTTCAATATATGCTGTGACACAAGTTTTGTCGCTTCACTCGAGTTTGGGATGAGGAACCTGCGAACCGACACAAATGACAAACACTGTAACAAACAGCAAGACATCACATGCTCCTTTCACTTACGCACATATAGGTTCAACTATTGGCAATCATTTTAAACACAGTATTTAAATATTAAAATACTAATCTGGAACAGACACAGTTTTATGACTGCTCAAAAAAAGGATTACAGTAAGATATTTTCTGTGCGCCCCAGCAAACTTCAACATTCAGTGGCAAACTCTTCAGAGAAATGCCAGGAATGCGAGCGGAACGACGGAAAATCAATTAACGTGTCTGCCGTAGTCAGCACAAGTTTTAAGTAGGATCTGAGGTTCTCATGGCAGAGAGTGTGGAGATGGGTTGCGGCACCGCGTAATCTGGTATAAGTTTACTAACGTCTCAGAGGTACTAGATGCCTACATGATCAGGTCTCACCACCCTAATGACGGAAGCAGCAAGTACCTCTGAAATGTCAGTAACCTCTACCAGACGACACAGTCCAACAACCGAAAGACAGCCATCTTCAGATAAGTTTTATTTTTAACGCATTTAGGCTGCAGGTTTTTCAGGTCGGCTAGCGGCACAAATCTCCACGGACCATGTGACAGAACAAGTGCGCAACAAATCTTTCCAAGAGGTTCTGCAATTAGCGAGTTGTTAAAAATTATCTTACTGTACACCGAGAGAAGGAAGAAACAATTAATTTTATTATGTTCTACTGCAGTCAGTACAGTAAAGGGTAAATATTATAGTAATCATAAATTGGAACTCAAAAAACAGGAAGCCATTTAGTTCTCTTAAAGCATTTTCCTAGTATCTATACAAAAGAACCGTGAACAACGCAGGCTAATTACAAGTCTTCTTGCTACTGGGCCTCATATAAAATGGTTATTCAAAACTTATGCCAAGATCAATCTAACTGACCTGTCCATATCAAATATGACCAAGTTCTCCTCTTTCGCCACGCCATATTTGAATGTGATGAGATCAGGATGTTTTTTCTTCGAAGTTATTTTGACAATAGCTGAGAGAGGGCGCCGGACCACGATGTGCGCGAGACCCTTGCGACTCGGGATGTCACGGAGCACGTAAATGTGACTGCTTGTGACGAGGAGATGACTGAAACAAAGTGAAAAATCACACTCTCTGTACGAAAAACAGTGAGAGGTTCAATTAATTCGTGCACTAAAGCTGTTGGGTGCTCACTGCTTAACCATTTCTGAAGTCCTAAAAGTTGTCATTTCATCGGCGACGTGTTTTGCAATAGCAGGAGAAATAGTTGTTTCTGCTAATGAAATCTGAAATGTCAGCATTCATCTCATCGACAAAGAGTGCGATTAATTAATGTTACCAGGTAAACAAATGCTTAACCACGTAGTCTTTTTCCTGGTCCAGACATAAAAATCAAATTGGACATTAACTTCATTACCTTTCATACATATAGCCATTTACTTTGACCTCATGGCACTTGAAGGCTGCTATAACATCTGACTTCTTCAACCACGCTGATACAGCCACAATTTCCTGCCCTTCCTCTTCTTCAAGTTTTGTGGGACTGGGATCATCTGCTGAAAAAAGAAAAATTATGTATATTTAATTTCCAGTCTTGACGATACAAAGCTGCCTCTTATCAACACTTCCTGATTATCGATGGTACAAATATGGTGGATTACGTGTACAAAATACTACTCACTCACACACAGTTACAAGGGGCAGTCAAAAAGTTCCCGGAATTGTGGTAATGGTAGACCATATGGCAAAGCTTACCTAATCACCTTCAAAGTAGGACCCTTGCACGCGCACACACACACACACACTTGCTCCATCGATCCTGCCATTGTTGGAAGCACCGGTGGAAGGCTTCGTTTGGAATCTTCCGGAGTTCGATTTGATGTCCTCCATGGTTGCGAAACGCGTCCCCTTGAGGCCCATTTTCAGAGTAGGGTACAGCCAGAAGTCACTCGGAGTGAGGTCCGGAGCGTATGGTGGTTGGGTGACGACGGGAATGCTTTTCTCGGCGAGGAATTGCTGCACACCCAGTGATGTGTCGAATGCGACGGCCGAACTCCGAAAGATTCCAAACGAAGCCTTCCGCCGGTGCTTCCAACAACGGCTGGATCGATGGAGCAAGTGTGTGTGCGCACGCAAGGGTCCTACTTTGAAGGTGATTAGGTAAGCGTTGCCATATGTCCTACCATTACAGTGCTATACCACAATTCCGGGAACTTTTTGACTGCCCTACGTATAAGGACTGAGCATATAAAATGTTACTTCCCTTCAATATCCTGAAGCTGTGTGCTTAGATATTTGGGAAGTTTCACCTAATAAATTTTTGCTGTTGTGTTGTGATGAAGAATTTAAAATTTTTATAGCAGTATACGATAACAAAAGTTTTAACCGCAACTGAAAGTACACATTATCCTACAGGCACACTCATTTAATCACCATACCAAGAAACATCCTCTCACTCGGAGCGGAATCTGCCTAATGGGTGCTCACACCATAGATACGAAATACTTGCCACGTGCATACATGTCAGAAAGGTCGACATAACAGCAACTAAAGACGTTTATCAAAATATATATTGGATAATTCCAGGAAAAACAATTAATTTGTGACCTCCGTCAACACTACACATGTCCACGGCAAACATTTCCCGTACTTCCTGTCACATCATATATTGAGGACATCTTATAAATCTTCACGCTGAAATAGTTTGATTTTACATGACAAATAAATTTAAAGTCTTCAAATATAGATGTATTTTACAAAAGCTTACAAACAGCAGCCACGAAATTTGAGCTAGTGCCACTCTGTGAAATCAGTTCACAACAGACAGAGAAGGTACTTAACATATGTAAATAAGTTTACATATTTCTTCCATTCTGATTAATTTTACAACAAATATATCTTGGACTAAGAGACATGACCGACACTTTACCAAAATTTTTATAGCCATCCAATTAAATACAGACCAAATGTAGTGTTTTCAGCAAATTTATATCCTAACGCTTCATGATATATTTGCTTTATATTATGTGCGTACCTATATGATGACAAACTGCAATTCTAGTGAAATAAGTGTAAAACAGATACCATAAATTTGAACTTCTCTACTCCTGTTATTTTAATTAATATGAAAATTATTTAAGATCAGTAATAAATAAGTCACAAGTAACTAAATTTCCCATACGTTAAGTAACTTCATGTAATTGCTGGAAGTCTTAACATGCGGGTGACTGCTGTCATTTTCTTACTATCTTAAAGGATGCCTATCACAGTCATACTACAATATTAAATACATATATATATATATATATATAACAGTATATATGGCAGTAATGGCACTGATAAATATATAGGCCATGTGTATAAGTTACACTGTAATTATTACACCTAAAGTGACCAGATCCGCAATATTTTATAAGGATACAAATTACAATGAAATGTGAACACATTTATGTCATCGATACACAAAACTGTTGACAAAAAGGGCAACAGAATGTAATCTGCAGCTAACAAATGGAAGCACAATAATTCTAGTAAATAAATATGGTTAAATTATTCTCGGGCTTTATTAATAAAAGCCGCCGTGAAAGCTTCACATCATATATGGTTAAATTACTTCGTAGTACTATCACAAAATAAAAATGAAATTTGCAATACTGTACATTTAGGTGAATAATGCACAAAGAGACCATCATTTTATGATAAGTTTTATGTTTCTATGTCTCAAAATTCTCAAATCAAGAGTCCCTAATATAAGACAAACATTTGCAAAGTTCAGAAATATGACTGACAGAAGCGGGAAATTGCATAGTTTTCACTTATGAAAAATATCTGTTCTGTATAAATAAATGCAGCAGTCCCACAGTGCAGATGTATGGAACTGAAAACAAAAATATTATAAAAAACCAGTAGAAAATATTAAGTACATTATTATAATAGTCTGTCCTGCACCGTAGCCACACGGTCTGAGGCATCATGCTTTGGACCAGCGATACAGAATGCGCACTGGTTCGGGTCTCGGGGGAAAAAAATTTTCTCATGAGCTTTCGACCAGTGTATGAGACCGGTGCCAACCCAGCATCGTGTGGAAATTGGGGAGCTACAATGGGTAGCGTAATCTGGTCATGAAAACTAGCGATGGCTGGGGGTTCGTCGTGCTGACCACACGTCACCTTATATCTGGTTGGATGATCGTTCACCTCTGCTTAGGCATGTGAACGTGAGGCCAGCAGTCAAGCTAGTCGGCTTTGGCTCTCTGGAGCTGTTATGCCACGGATTTATTTTTTTAATTATAATAGTCCACAAATTTACCTTCAGGCTGATAGGGGCCATCATATACAGCACACAGTGTTACAATCCAGAGAAAATCTTAATAACAGATCTGTCCCAATAACGATGCCACTCATGCCTCCAAAGAACATGATCCCACTGTCCCACACAAAACCAAAAAAAAACCTACAACTTCAGAAAACTACAATCAAGATCTGCAACTCAGCTGCGTGAAGGGGACATATAACCGAGGAATCCACAATTCACAGTAATGTGTCAAATGAATTGAACACACGAAAGAGTGGCTTTTAGGCATTCCACAACCTAACACTAACATTGCCTTCATGACAACGGCTCTAAACAGCAGATATAAAATACCTGGTCACCTTAGGCATATTCCAAAATTACAGAATATAAACCTCTAAAAAGGAATAACACCTTTGAACAATTATCATGATAAAATAAATACCATACAAGAATAATATGTTTAAACAAAGAATACGCGCATAATGGCATAACATAACCACAGTCTCATATAACTGACAAAACGTAAAGACTAGATGGGTAAACAGGTTATGAAAACAAAAACCAATGCTCTGGAACTCGAACAAGAGACATCCAAAATGGTTAAGTAAGATTATACATATCAAATTAAATACTCATTAAGGTTTATCTAGCCACATGGGTTTATTTTGTACTGCAACTCACTTTCATTCTTAGTTCCCTGTACTATCAATTGTAATACGTTCATTCGTTACTGTGTCCATGAATACAGCAAAACCTCATTAATTCAATATGTTCCTTTTAACAGGAATAGCCTTTTAAAACAAAAAACTGAAAGAAGGTTCTGAACATAAGAGAATAAAAATAACAGATGATTTATTTTTTTAAGAACAACACATCAGGAAAATGTCACATTAAAAGAAAGTAAGGAAGGAAAGAAGGCCATCAGAAAAAGCTGAGGAGAAGTTAGGCACCATAAATATGTACGATCTTCAACTTCGCCATATGTAAATCTAATCTTATACACCGCCAAAAATTTGCTGCAGACAAAAGATTGTAATATTCCTTCATCTGACTGAAAAAACAGAATCTGTAACACAGAAATCTTCTGCCTTTCATGATCGTTTTTTACAAAGAAGCTAGTTCTTGACATACCTCACGTGGTCACTCAATGAGATTTTGCTGTATCAAACATACTCGAATGAACCTGAAATTACAATGCACTGGTTCTATATTCAGCTGTATGATCATTTACAAACAATTTTCAAAGTATTAAACACTGGTTAATTATTACATACAAATTTAACATAACCACATGTGGTAAGATAATTGATGACATTTACACAAGAAAATTTTGTATTACTTACAAAGTGCAATGGAATAAATCCCACATAGTTATATTTTTCAGCTTAATAATATTTTCACATATCTACGATTATCCAACAACACGATATAATATCATAAATCCCCAAGTACAGGACTCAAAACTTTCCTGTGTCTACCCAAAATCACAGTTTGCATTTTCAAATCTATTTCTGCCATGCTCAACACTCCTCATTTCAAACCCATCACTTGCGACAAACGACATATCCTACAGCCCACAGAGAAATCATTCTATAAGTGTGGGTGGGAACTACATAATAATCATAATCTGTCAGATTCTTACAGCAATGAGTATGAAAATGACTGTCTTCCGGGATGTTGTGCAGTATAATTTGATAGATACCAACCAACATTTCAGATGACCTTTTTGCCTTTATATTTCCTTGTCCATTCTATTACTCATGAAATATATATAACGCACAAAAACATTACAGTATATGTCTTTATGTCCCTATTTCTTACTTTAGCTATGGCTTTCCTGTCTAATTAGTAATAAACTAAGTAACAGTCTATCAGTTTTAAAAAAAGGAAAATTTAACAAAGTAATAACATTGAAACTGAATGAAATGTGTCTATCACTTACAAAACATTTTACATAACATTATCCAACATTATTCCCTAAGAAGATTTCTGTCTTCTGGGTTGTTGCGCTATATAGTATGGTAGATGTTAGCCAATGTTTCAGAGATCATAGTGCCTCCGTCATCAGGGCGATGAGTATGAAGATTTCTGTCTCTTGGGTTGTTGCGCTGTGTAGTATGGTCGATGTTAACCAACGTTTCAGATGCCATACTGCCTCCGTCATATTCATCGCCCTGATGACGGAGGCAGTATGACCTCTGGAACGTTGGTTAGCATCGATCAGACTACACGGCGCAACAACCCAGGAGACAGAAATCTTCATACTCACCGCTGTGAAAACCTCAAATCTTACATTATTCCCTAAGTTTGAATTTTGCATTTTAAAGAAACTGAGTTTTAAAAGTACATACTGAGTTCCATTATGCTGTAATGCAGCATATAGATTTTTCATATTCTAAAATTTACTGCAATAACGTCTGCTGATAACAAGGCTCCTTCTCCAATTTCTAGCAAATTATACATACATAGTTAAACCATACAGACCTATGTTGCTCACAATTTCTCACCAAAATCTTTTAAGTCTTCAACAGGTAGAGTTTCAACGTGGATGTCATATTATTAAGCTGTAAAATTGTATTTAAAAGTGTAACACCATGTGAAATTTAATTATTGCTACTTATCGTTCATATAATCAAATATATTAATAATTTTGCTACTAACTACTTTACATAAAAATTGCATAAATTTCTAGAATAAGGCATTATCAAACAACTCAGTACATACCCACACAAAAATGAGTATTGGTCCAATATCAGCAATAATGGTACAGTTGATAATACTAAGATATATAAATGGTTCGACAGTTAACTGGTAGTTCAACAGCACTTCTATGACACTGCATAAATTAGAGGAACTAATCAGGTGTTTTTGGACTATATCACACCATCAGAACCCTACAGAATCCTACAGGAACTAACACTAGAATAACCAAAACTATCAGAATTTTACATAATCACACAATCAAAACATACACTGTTGTTCTCAAAACTTCTTTACAGATATCACTGTAACCATGCACGTAATCATAATCAGTGTAATATTACTAAAATATGATTTTTAAAAAATTCTGTTTGGCAAAATCTGCTTTCTATAACAAGTGTCTCATAACTAGTCTTAAACACCTTTCCACCCCATACAGAAATAAATTCTATCTACACGAAAAATTTGATTCAGTCAAAACATATAGAGGGATTGAGCAGGTTACCTCTGTGACAAAATTTCTGATTTGTATCTGGGAAAAAGTAAGCAACGATCCTGTCCATCTGCTCATACATTTAGCAAAAAATAAAGAAAAGTGAGTTATGAGACAACATTATCAATGAGCCCTTAAACCTCTTGTTGTGACTTTATTTCTTCAGAACTGTCCCAAAACTACTTAATTTTTAAGTAAAACATCTGAAATAATCTCTTATGACGGTTTAGTTATTATAAAAAAACACTTTTCTACATCCTTATAACTGCTTAAAATTAAAACAGAAATCTTGCGTTAATTATAAACTTTAAACTATAACACCTAATTAGTTCACCAGTTATTATTATAACTCCTGAATCACTGTATCAGCATAATGATATTGGACCAAGAGAAAGAAACAATTAATATCTAGGTTATTTAATAGAGAACACTTCAGGACTGTTCAAGAGATCACATGATATAAATGTATAATTGAGTTCACTGCACATAGAATCATAACGTCAACTAGATAAAAATCAACTGTGAAAACATATACGAGTGTCTGATACTGGCTAATCTCTGCAGTAAAACCGATACAATCCCTTCCCTTATCTTTTAACTTCATAACAGGATACCGTCACTAAAACGCTTCTCTAAGATGCTAAAGGCTCTTAATTGGCCACCAAAACTCTTCTCCAACACAAAAGTTATACAAGAATAATAAAGCATTTTCTTCATCTTTTAACAACTGTGTATTGATAAACACTGAATTCCATATTTTAAATAAGGATTACAGATAAAACATTAACTAATATCTACATAACTCTAAGAATGTGACTTGTCTTTCATGTTTATTAAGTTCATTTATGATATTTCATTCCCTAACACACATTTGGCACATGCAGATGTCATCTTTCTCTGTACATGGTAAGACATGGTATTTTGGCAATAAAGAATTTATTTTCTTGAAAAGTAACAAGAGATCCCAATAGATGGTAGAAAGTCAATTTTACCTCAAATGTCCTTGTATTCAGTAAAGTAAAATATTAATATTAAATTGTGTGAGTTATGTGAATTTTCTACAGGATACCCGTCAGCCCAGCTTGAAAACAACTTTGACGGTCATTCACTAGATGACTGCTTCCTCCTAAATGAAATAAATACAGCTGGGAAGGAACAGAGAAATGTACCCAATATACAAAGCTGAAAGATGGCCAACAAACTATATGGAAGATGATCAATAAGAAATCCACATCATTCATCTCCTTTCTTAAGTGATAGCTACGGTGACAGCAACGTGGTGGAGAGATTACAGTAGTGAAGCAAGCAGCACACACAGTATGAGAGACGTTGAACGCGGCATTTCATCGGGCAATTTTTCAAATTTGGGAGTGTAGGATGATGTTGCTTCTCGCAAACAATCGTCAAGATGGGCGTCAGTAAGTCGGGATCTGCGCTTTGATTTTATTATGTTCACGGTTGAACGGCCTTCATTATTCAGTATAACCTCTTTCCGTAACAATGCGGGCACCCAAGAAAAAGCTTTGGCGGGCGCCATGGCACACGCTGGCACTGCGTTGGGGACCACTGATCTAAAGGATAACAAATTGCTGCCAGTATGCTCCTGTGTGTGTGTGTGTGAAGGAGAGGGGGGAGGAGGAGGGGGAGAGAAAGAGAATACACAAAGTGATCACATGGTTGTTGAACATATCAGAATGTTCACGTTATAACCTTCAGAGTGAAGCTAATAAGGGAAGGCAGTGGAAAATCCTCATCCTGAAGACTACTGTACCTCAGACAGGTTAAAAGGCACCAAACTGAGAAGGCGTTCACAAAATGGCATAGATTTGTTACAAGATACATGAGAAGGGAAACTCATGCATGGGTTGTGGAATAAATTTATACTTTTAAAACTACTTAAAGGCATATTATATCAAAACAAAAATCTAATAAGAAGAAATAAGCTTAATATGATAGTTTAAAACGGTGCTGCAATACATACATGCATACATCTCTATCGGTTTAAATCTACCAGTAAACATTGGATTGTAAAGGTTTTACTGGCGAAATGATATACACAATCCAGTTTCTACAATAAATTAGCAAGCACCATCTTAAAACACAATCAACAGATCATAAATATGTTGAATGGGAAGATCACTAATCTTTTCATCACACATTGAAAATTACTATAAGCACTGCTGTTGGGTACAAAATATGACACATTAAATGATACTTTCTGTACACCTTGAACGAGTTTTGGAAAGTTTTGACAAACTGTCTTCAATAGAAACAGACAATTATGTTTCCTTATGCATCAAAATGGTGCATGCTAATACGAATGTGTTACATTCTAACCACACTTCGACAGAATAGTCTTCTAAAACAAAATTATCCAAGTTTGTCCCTTCACAAAATCTTTACAGATCTGCGATATATTGCCAACACTAAACAGTATCTTCTCTGCAGTCTTTAAAAACCAGGAAGATAGAATTGGAATAAACCAGTCTTTAAAAATGAAATACAGTAATAGTAAAATCACTACTCTGTGTGCTGCGGTGTTTCATCTCTTCAATTTGTTGATACTCTGGTTTCATTTATCAAGAACCACCTTTCCCTTGCAAACTGTTGTATTTCCTTCCTGAAATTTTTAAAAAGAAGAGGAAAGTGTTTCAGAGTCTTCTAATTACAAGTACAATGAATTACTTAGGTTGCCCTAAGGGCACAACCTACTGAGCTGACAAAATTCTAAATACTTCAAAGGCATCTACATATAGACAGAGACCTGGATATAATGGTTTCTGCTTTGCTTTCACAGTAAATTGACAGCCTTTGTAGATGTCACACTCATATAAAACTGAGCGTAAACTAGTTTTTTTATTTATTCACATACAAGATACACGCATGTTTAAAAGATAAGGAGCAAATAATAATCTATTAATGAAGACAGTTTGTCAAAGTATCATCATTATTACTAGTGCTGAAGATAAAATCTATATAACTTACCTCCATCTTCTTCGTCGATACTGAAGACAGGTGCCATATTACGGTAACGTTTGCCGAGTTTATCTGCGCTGCTGACATGTCGTTCCACTGCATTACTTCCAGTTGGATTGACAATATAGTCAAACAGTTTGCCCTTAACTTCAGCAGATTTAAGCTTCATAGCTGCACTGCAAGGAAAGTGTAACAGATCTGTCCACATGATACACAATAAAACAAAGACTTCAGATTCTTGTCATGGTAAGTGCTCCTCCTTTTTATAAAATATCACAATAACATGTAATAATCAAAACAGACAATATTAAAAGAGAAGATATAAAAGTTAACACCCTTGACAAAACTTTATCACATAAGTCAAACAAACAAATGAATCAAACAAAACAGTAAATGAGATACTTCTGTAAGCACACATCAATATTTTATTTTAACAAAAAAGTTATTGAGACACATTGTAAACGTAACTTTAACATAATAAACGTTCTTGTCTAAAATATACAATGTTATGAACTGAGTTAAAACAATGCAATACCTGATTTTTCCAAAGAGATCTGAAGAACTTGCATTTGGTCGAATGGTTTCTGAATCCTCACTTGCATTATCAGGATTGCATACAAGACAGCTATGAGGATTATGTTCCTCCAAACTGTCACCAACATTTTCAGCGACACTTTCATGAACTGCTGCAATATTTAAACATAAGTTTCAGTACCTCAGCACCTTTTTCTCAGACATCCTCAATTTATGTAAGATTTACTACACAGCGCAACAACCCAGAAGACAGAAATCTTCATCTTCAATTTATGCTCTTTCCTCAGAGTGTGAGACCAATTTCATTCCATACAAAATGACAGGTAATATTACATTTTTGTATATTCTAATCTTTAGATGCTCAGATAAGCGTTTGAATTGAATGGGAGCAAGCATTTCTCAAATTTAGTCTGATCTTAATTCAATTTTGAATACCTTCAGATTGTTGCTGTTGATCCCAGGTACTTCAACTTTGCTAAATTTTTTTTTAAAAAGATCTATCAGCTACAATTACATTATATTACGATTCATAAAATGGATGTCACGTTTTACCTTCTTAATTTCAACACAAGAATAATGTAACTAAGTAAAACATACTGTTCAGAGTATTTACCCTGATACCCTCCAGTAAGCATGCTAACATAGTGTGTATGCTTCTGCAGGAAAGAAGCAACAACCATGTGTGTGTACTGATCCTCTTCAACTCTCCCCGATCCAAGGAAGCACAAATGTTCTCCACCTGCCGCTGACCGAGCAGCCAGTGCTTGTCGCTGAGCAGACAGCAAACCTTGTACAGCAGTAGAAAAGGCTGCTGGTTCCTGCAGCATCTGAAATTTATATGTATCAGCTCAATATGGTTACCATTAATACTCACAACACACAAGGGTACGTACTTAGACATTGTAGTCTACTCTACTCTAAGCCCTGGCCTTTCATGGATACTTTTTTTTTGCTGGATTTTTTACCTCTGCCTTGCCCTTTTATGGACAAAGTTTCTCCCAGATTTTCAAAACTTTGTCAATATTTTGCATGGTTTCTTGATTGGGGGGTGGTCCATCCGATTGAAAGGCCTAAATCTTCACATCTTACCAAGTTGCAGTCAAGGTGGAAAGCTGTTGGTAAATGGCCTGCATTATACTGCTCAGCTGGACGACAGTCCACAAGGAAGAAGCGGACACATTCTATGCCATCTGGACTGTGTGTCGACTCTGCATTTTCTACTAATTCCCCAGCTGACACAGGAAGGCAAAGAGCCTGTGAGATGCTTGATGTTTCTGCTGATTCATCATCACCATATAATACATTCAACAGGTCCTGCACAGAAAATTACCAAAGTTAAAGCCAGAGCAGTTATTGAAGCAGAAGGTGGTTCAGAAAATGAGAAAGAAATGCCCCTTCAATTTAAAAAGAAGACATCAAGAACTAATGAAAATTTGGATCAAATATAAACCATACTCATACCACGCTCCAGTTAATTCTCATTACTAACAACCATTATGTTCACTAGTGCAGTAAATTCATAACTAAAGAAATTCATGTTGTAAAAGCTAAGAAAGTTTCAATGACTATTATTAAAGTTTAAAATTTTTTGACATTTATCCACATGCCATCCATTTCATCCCACTAATTTTATGCAGTTGTCAATCTACAGAGATACAAGTGAACATACATGTAGAATATAAAGCAACAAAAATTAATGAAAAGTTTATTAAATACACCATCTTTGAATGATAAATGACAATTAGATGAAGTGTCATGAATTAAAAAGCTACGTTGCACAAGAGTTTTCAGACTTGAATTTTCAACTACCACCTTACACACAAATAGGGCTGGAAACTTAAATTCACTTACAAGATACTGATAATAAACATGCAAAAACTAAATATGATATGTTTAAGTGAAGGGCATCTCACCTTTCGGAAAGATCCTGGAGTTTTCAAGGCATAGTACTGTGCTAATGAACAAAAATCAGTAATATCATCTGCTTCCAGTGCACACGGCATTGAACTTAATGTAGTTACAATATTCTGTTTGTTCTCATTCTTCATACTCAGGATCTGTTCCCTGTTGAACATAAACATTTCTTATAATTCTGACTAAAGTTCTTCATCTCCAGTATGTGATGACTACCAATAAAACAAAAAAATCAATGGCAATGCCAATATTAAACTCAAGGACATACAATACTTTGCGAGAAGAAAAGATACTGTATGTTCACATAGGTATATGAAAGTATAGAAATGTAAGTCATGTTTCATTCACTAACGAACCAATTACATTGAGCACAGTCCCTCTTGAGATGCTAAAGGTCACTCTGGCAATCAAGAAATTCCCCATCATGACAGAGCATTACTGTGTTCACAAGAGCCCTTCAGATCTCATTTGCAGTAAATTACTGAACAGTTACACATACTTGGCCAACGTTGAAACTAACTCAACCAGGGAAACCAACAGCGTAGAGTTTTTGTCCTCCCATATGAAGGCAGATGTAGAATCAACTTCCAAAATAATGTCATCTTAAACAACACACTTACATGACAGATGAAGTACAACTGAATAGTTATATACAATGTCACACCACTGTCAGAAACACTGAGGCTTCAGTTACGAGAAACTTCCTATTTCAGGCCAATGTGATGACTACCTACTTCTGCTTCCTCACATGATAAATGAGTACAGTTTAACAGTCTCTCTTTTCTGGAATACACTGAATGTGATAATCACTTTTAAAATGTATTTTTTCTCATATTGCAAATAGAATTAAATCATCAGTAATGTCATCATTCACCATCCCATCCAAATGGAAACATCCTTAAACATTTTGTTAAAATATTGCTTGTCTTGTCTTTCTGTTAAAACAAAATTTCATTTCTAGATATTAAACTTTAAACATCCATAAATTATATAAATGGTAAATTACAGTGTTGTCAATTTTATGAATCACGATCAAATAAAAATGCACTGCAAACACATGAACATAAAAAACAAAATAAACATCAAGTTTACCTTGCATTAACAACCATAACCAAAGCAAGGAAAAAAACAAAGAATGCATCAGCTTGTTGGAAGTACAGGTCCCACATTGCTTGTACAACAGGTAAACTGCATGTTGCCGCAAACAGTGATTGGAACTGAAAATCAGAATAATGTTTATTATTAAGTAAAACCAGTTCACAACACTAGAACGCATTTCATGAAATGTAACTTCTTATTCAAGTAAAGTAATTTATGACAGACAGGACGGACACAAACACATATAATTCACTACACAAATATGCCCTAAACAGGGAACAGTTACGACAGTCAACAATTCACAACATTAGACTGTATTGTCACACAATAAGATCAAACTAGAACTCGTATTATGGAGATGTATACATAACTAAAGCACCACACTGTTCAGAAACGTTGATCTGCAGTATGTTCAAAACGTTATTTTCACATCAACTGTCATTTCAATTAAAATATTAGGCTCTGCTTCATTTTGGCTATATTTAAACATTTTATGTATTAATATAATCTTTTTTGCAATTCTATTTGTACATACTGTTGTGTGTCTGTAGTTGTACAGATTAAAAAAAATGCATATATGATAAATTCTGAAAGCCATAACATAATGAGGCATGTGGTGATAAGAAAATGTCTTCTGGTTATAGATCTAAAACCACAATACAGAGTGTGACATATTATGCGTTATATCATACTTACTGCTGCACTGGCTAATCAGAGTAGGACATGAAAATCTGACAATTCAATAATATTATAACTGAACAGAAATACTTTCTTGTTCAAAAAATTATTAATCATCAAATAGTTTATTATTTCCTCCGAATACTCTAAATACAGATGTAGAGAAGTTGATTGGATGTCACGCATAACACGCAAGTATAAATTGTAATACATAATAACAATAATGCGAATCAGCCAATTTACATGCAAAACAAATTCAATACAAATGTGAACATACAAGAGGGTGGATTTCACTCACCCAAGACAGGCAGTACATGTCTGGACTTATCCGTTTGGTATCGAGAAAAGAGCATAATTCTGGGTCATGATACAGCAACAACAACCGGAACAAGTGAAATGGAGTGTCATTCTTCTTGTAGCATCTGAGAAATTAAGGAGAGCTTATATTCAGACAAGTGAAAGATATGTCTACCTTAACCAAAAAATTTCATGCAGCAGAGTACTTTATAAAGGACTTATATTTTCTTAAGTGGTCACGAAATTACCCTTTTACAAGATGTAATGGTCCATAATTATGTTCACAAAAATCCGTCACGGGACCCTATAATGAGAGACTTAAATTCAGTCCACATTCTTACCCAAATGAAGAACCAGTGATATCCTACCTCAAGGTTATCCAATTAAAATGTATGGTTCTCATCTCCCATATGTGTATTACATGTACAGTGCGTCCACAAAGTCCCTTCGGGATTTTGAAAAATTGTGGCGCGCAAACAAATTGAGCTAGCCACATGCGGTTTGCGGCAGATTACGATGAAACTTTGAAGTTTTTTACTGATCTCAGTAGACCTCGATGTGGGCTCCCTTGGTAGCACGGAGAACGCCCAGACAATATTCGAGCTCTTGCCATGTTCTGTGGAGCATGTCCGCTGGAATAGCTGAGATCGCATTCCTGATACGAGTCTTCAGGTCATCAAGTCCGTTAACTGGTGTTCTGAACACATTGCTCTTGACATAACCCCACAGGAAAAAATCCAGTGGTGGTATGTCTGGTGAACGTGGATCCATCTTCCTGGAAATGTCCTGTCTAGGTACGCGCGTACCTGCAGACCCCAATGAGATGGAGCACCATCTTCCAGAGTTTCACTGTAATCTGCCGCAAACCGCATGTGGCTAGCTCCATTTGTTTGCACGCCACAATTTTTCAAAACCCCGAAGGGACTTTGTGGACATACTGCATAACCCACCTCATCTCCCTTCAATGATCACCCTAGTAATCTGCTGTGAAGAGTGCACTGGTGGATCCAGAAGTTGGCTATTGTGAACACAATAATGAATCTTTGGGTTCTATAGGAGCTGGAAAATTTATTGACTAACTGAGAAACTGCTCCATGTAATTAAGTGGATACCTGAAACTGATCTACAAACTGTTCAGACCATATTACAAACCTTGGGATATAGCAGTTTCTGATTGCTTCAAACAGGTTGTATGTTCCAGACCTTGGTAATTTAAGTGCAATAAGGGGAAGTAGGATTTCAATCCACCCATTGCCCTTCTCATATTTCAAACTTTTAGACTTGCAGTAAAATGTAAGAATTGATTCTAAGTCTGAGACTACAGATACTTTGTCCTCATCTTCATTGCCAAGATTAGCTGAAAACACACAAAACATTAACCTTTATTATATAGGAAAAGAGGATTTAAATCCCTGTATTATGGGGTTGCTACCCATACTATGTTACTCCATGGTTAAATGGTTTAGCAGTATGCTAGTGCAACGCACACATTCAGCTGGATCATGTTAAGCTGGAAGACATAGATAATAAATATTAAAAAGAAATACCAACACAAAATATCCAAATTTCAATCATTCAGGATGATAAAATGATGATAACAAACTGAGGAATGTAGAAAATTAGAAGGAAAAAATCATATTGGATAGTTTTAATGTAAATATGTTAAAATTATTCTCAGACTGTATGAGTTTATCCATGACAGATGATTATATTCTCTGATAATGAAATGAACATGAATTGGTACTGAATATCTCTCATTACTATAGCAAATTCTTAACAATATTTGCCTATTCAGAGACCTCATTCTGTTTTACAGGGTATCAAAGAAAGGTTGTCATAGTTCATGTCCTCTCACAAGAACAAACAAATATTTTAAATTTATTTTGCTTAAAAGACATTACGTTGAGACAAGTCATGTGCAGGATCAGAGACTAAGGACTGAGGGTACAATAATGTGCTACTACTTGGTCAGTGAGCAACTGCCTTTTGAAAATAACTAATTGTGAATAACCTGAGGAGTGGACAGGTCACTAAGTGATAGCTCTTGGCATCTCACACAAGACAAAAGAGACAACATAAAACAAGGTAATAGATTATACACACAGTGATGAATAAATAAACATACAAAAAACAAAGGACTGTATTTTTTCTAATCTTTTTCATACAACTTGACATTCAAATATGTCAGTGTCACATTAATTAAGGCCTCATACCCACATTAGTAAAAAATTCACTGCTTGACATCTGTGGAAAAATGAACAGAATGAGAGAGAATGTTAATAAAAAATGTCAGATTCTATCACTAGACATCTTCAATTTTTCACTCATCATGGACAAGTGAGTGGATATAATGAGTCTTGCTTACACATATACATAAATTTACACAATAAGGATCCTCAAAATAATGAGAAGAAACACATACCAACAAACTGCTGACAATCTTCACGTAAAATATTCTGCTCAGGAAGATCAAATATTTCATTAAACAGTATGAGTTGATTTCCTTTCTCTTGTACTCCAAGACAGATCTGCCAAACTTCAGACCTCAGGAAGTCAGGTACAGTTTTGCCTTTAGAGATACTGTAAATTGAAGCTGCTGTACAATTCTCCAGGAGGGCAGTTTCTAAGTCAAGAACCCTGGAAAATTAGAAGTGAGACATAATTTTCTATACCACATGCTGCTTTAGAAGAGTAATTGAATAATATGTCTACCACATCTAAGATGCCCATGGTTCAGTTCATGTTTTATTTTATGTTTTTAAATTCCTCTAGACCAACAAAGGTATGGGTAAATAACACCTGTTTGCAATTGTGCAGTAAAACGAGGAATTAACATTCATAAAATCTTCCTCACACTTAATCAAACATTTGATTCTGTAAAATCATATTGTGCTCAGAAACCTTTCCTGCTTCGTTTCTATGTTGAATTCCGTGTCTGACTTTTACAGATGTGACTTCAGTAACATCTCATCACAGAAACGGTAAATAATTTATCATTGTGTGCTGTAGTTAAAATAATATGTTTTATTTAAATTAAAACAGGACTATAAGTGGCTTCATGTCATAACAGTACATGAGCTGGCTGAGAGTTTATAAAGATATAAAAGTGTGTATGTGTGTGTATCCCATCCTATCCCTGCATACATATCCAGAATCTAGTACTACTGACAACATATAACTAGCTTTAAGTATACAACAGGATGAAACAACTGGAAGGACTATGGAAATAAGGTAGCATTTGCATAAATCCAATTAACATCAGTTCTGCCAGACAAAAATCTTACAGGTAGCAACTAATCAATACAAGACAGTTGTTTGAAACATAATTAGTATATATTAGAATGCTTGGCTTAAACTACGGAAATCAAATACAAACCTATAACTAAAGCATTTCCAACTCGCAACTCTTAATGTAAATAAGATATACATAAAAAGTAGCTGTGACAGTGAATGTTGCATTCAGAGGAGAATTCCTAAGCAGTTGGCATTCACACAGTAAAGAACAGTGAAATAACTATTCAGTGAGAGAATATATTTTACAGTAAATAAAAGAATACATGAAAAAATAAATCTCTTCAAGACTAAATATTACATTAGAATAACAGAAACATTAAAATATGTTGATTACTCACATTAATTAGGTTGAAAATTACTGAAGAAACTAAAAATTAATATGAGGCTACAGAGATTCTTTGCTTATTCCACTCACTGTGGGTAAAAATAACTAATATCCGAATCCATTGGCCCATCTACCCAATATGGCAGGCATGGTCATCCAACTGTATAAAACATGCAGCAATGGGAGGTGTAATGATACAGGCCCACCTCTCCAAAGCTGCTGTCAATTCATTAAAAATAAAAGTTTCAGGGACCAGCTGTGTCTCTATCATCAGCTGGAGCTAGTCCCTAAAATGCTGATTTTTAACAAATTTATACAGCTGATAGTCTGGGGACATTTTATTAAAAGATTATTTTATTGTTGTTCTTAATCTTCTGCCTCAGATCATCAAATTGTTGCTTACCAAGAAGTTTCTCTGCCAAATTACTATAAGAATTCAGCATTTACCCAACATGCTACATTACCCTGACATAAGTAGAATCAAGGACCCATCTGAAATACTAGCCCTCTGATACATCATATGGGTAAACCATAACAGAGAACAATAAACAGGTTGCATCATTTTCTTACCTGACAACAATTTATAAAAATTAAATAAATAAAATGAGAAAAAGCAGAGAACTAAGGTACTTAAGCCTGATGTGTATATCTCTCAAACTCTGGAGGCTGGCTATGTGTGACTGACTAAAGGAACAACAAAATAATGAGCATGAATACTTGACATCCAATCACATTCTGTATGGCTAGTCTCTGATTATATAACCCTGGAAATTCTTGTTCACTCCGCATTTATGTCACTTGAAGGTCGTAGAAATACATTTACAGTATGTCTATCGTGACTATGCGAGTGTTAATGAAACATGTAAACTTAAGTGGGTTTAACAGGTTGCTAATTTGTCCAGTCCCTGATAAAGATCCCAACAGCTGTTCAGCTTTAAACAATAAGATCATATCTCCATGGCAGAAAGAAGGGCAGGAAACGGGGCTTGCGTAAGTACTAATGCATCGATAATTGTTCACAAACACAATGAACAGTAATACTTAATTTAATGAATTGACACAGTCAGCAGCATCTGCAATCGAATTCTATAAACAGCACAAGTTACAGATTTTAAACACAGCCATTACTAACATGCTAAACATAAAAAAGAAACGAGAAAAATGATACAATGGAAGCAACACTTTTATAAGCCTCGAACATTTTTTTATTTGGTAATTACGTACCACGTATTATCATCTTCTTCTACTGCCATTTTTCCATCTTGATTTTCTGCGCTCTGTTCCCATTCATTTGTCACAAATGTTTATATTCCAGATGGCACCACGTTACTTACCCGTCTGTTATGTTGGTATTAATCTATGGTTATGGCGGCTTCCAGCAGTAACAGTCTTGGATCTAGTGGATCTGCATGGTCGAAATGGCAAATTGCATTAGCAGTAGGAGCTCCTGTTGCGGTTGGCATAGGTATTTGGTATCTGAAGAACAGCGGTTCCACAACAGGCCAAGATAAGGACTCAATAAAAGAGGATGGCAGAAAAAATAAGATGGCATCGACGGCTTCTGGCCAAACCTCATTGGACATGGGTGAAGAGCCGAATGTACCGTTCGAGCCGGTTGAAGAAGTATGACATTAAGTACCAAATAACAGCAGCATTTATCATGTTTAATAATCTAGAACATAGCGATTATGAACTTTGTATATGGCAGTTCTTTTTCTAACCACGTATAATTATATGTAATTACTGTTTCACAGAGTCCACTAAAAAAGGCACTGAACAACAAAGCTGTGGGCAATAAATATTTCAAGTCTGGAAAATATGCAGAAGCCATAAAGTGTTATGACAGTGCCATTGAAATTTGCCCAAAAGATAAAAAATTTGACTTATCAACATTTTATCAAAACAGGGCAGCTGCCTATGAGCAAATGGTGGGTATAAAATCATGCTCAGTTCGAATAGTTTCTGCATTAGTGACATGCTCGTACATAGTAAATTTATATTTTGATAATTAACCTATAACAGATGTCCAGACTGACATTATAAAAACATGGTTCTTTTGGGTGCATTTTGAAAACACTTGTTTTAACTGCCCATAGATAAGGCACCCAGATCACCTGTCCTATTTAAAACAAAGTCAGTATTTTAGACCTATGATAAATTTTGTCTGTTATTTTCAGTTCTAGTTTCTTAATAAAAGGGACCTGTTTTGTTCAATTTTTTTTGACGTAAATACGTCTATATGGAAGGGTCAGTGTCATTCCGCAAAAAAGTGATAGGAAAATGGGTAAGATCCGAGTAACGAAAAAGTGACAGGAAAATGTTTAAGATCCGATAGGGAACGTCGTGTTTACTCGGCATTGTTGTTACCTAGGAAATGTCATCTGTTTACTCGGCATTGTTGTTACCTAGGAAACGTGATCTGTTTAATCGGCATTATTGTTATGTAGGAAACGTCATGTTTACTCGGCATTACAGAGACAACTTTTATATGGACTCCTGCGTGCATTGTTATGTTACCTAAGAAACTGATTGTTACGTCATGTGTTTACTCGGCATGTTACCTAAGAAACTAATTGTTTCGTCATCTGTTTACTTGGCATTGTTGTGTTACATTACTTTCGTTATTGCGGCAAGAGCTGAGCTGTGATTCGTTTGTAGAAAAAGTGTGTCATGGACTAGGTAATTTTGTGCTGGTAAAAATGTTTTACAATATCACAAGTACTTATCTTATATAAGAATTATTAAGAAATCTATTATTGCATTAGTTTGTTGCGTCATACTATGTACAAGATGGATGACATTGAAGCTAAAAGACTCCATAACGCAGAATATATGAGACAGTACAGAAAACGTAAAAAATAGAAGTATTAAATAATGAACCTAAAGTTCCCAAAAAAATACCAAAAACTAATGCTGAACATACAAGGGAATGTAGGAATCGCAAGAAGCAAATATTATCAAATAATGAACCTAAAGTTCACAAAGAAATACCAAAAACCAGTGCTGAACGTTCGAGGGAATACAGAAATCGTAAGAAGCAAATATTATTAAATAATGAACCTAAAGTTTCCGAAGAAATACCAAAAACTAGGAGATTTTAATATTGATTTAAAGAAGGCTGAAAATCAAAGCTTTGTCACATTTATGGAGGAACCGTTTGGCTTAATGTTGATGTCAAATCCTCAATGTAGTACTACTAGATCAAAATCTTGTATAGATATGGTGTTTGCACGATATGTTGATACTCTAAAATGTACAAATTTTATAACATATTTCACCTACCACAGACCCATCTTTAGCGTAACTAATTCAAGGTAGGCAGTACTGTCTTACTCAAACTTTAATCAATTGTAAAGCGTGTATAAAGAAAATATTTAGAATAAAGCCACTATATAAACTCCTTACTGTATAGACGTATTTAAGTCAAATTCTCCGGAACCATGGTTCCACTGAGACTTTTTAATTATGCTAATATTTAATACATATAAAATGTTTTTTTGTTATTAGAAAAAGTATGAAGAGGTAAAGAATGATTGTACTCTAGCACTTTCCTTGAATCCCAAGTATGTGAAAGCACTTCAGCGGCGTGCTAAGGCATGTGAACTTACAAAAGACTTGCAACAGAGTTTGGAGGATGTGACAGCAGCTTGCATATTGGAAGGCTTCCAGAATCAGACAACACTTCTCACAGCAGACCGAGTCCTCAAAGAACTTGGTATGGTTATCAGAAATCATAAATTAATTGAAGTCTTCTTGGGTGATCATCTGTGTTAGGTGGCTGTGAATAGCCAACATTGCAAGAGCTGAAGATTGCTGTCTTCTGGGTTGTTGCACCGTGTAGTCTGGTAGATGTCGACCAACATTTCAGAGGTCATGCTGCCTCCATCATGAGGGTGCCCTAATGACAAAAAATATGTACAAAATTTTTGTGTGACATGTTAATCAGATGTTGGTTTTTAAACCATCTAAAAAATTGGGTAGATTAACATGTTTGCATTTACGTTTAATGTGTATAAAATTTTCTTACATTTTTAGCTATGATTCTTCATTTGTAGGTAGACAACATGCAAAAGAAGCCATGGCAAAGAGAACACCAGTAATGCCATCAAAACACTTCATCAAAACCTATTTCTCTTCATTTATTGAAGATCCAATTACAAATAGCTTGGTGCAAGAAAAGGAAAGTGATTCTGCAGAGGCAGATTTGAGGTATGTCTTACATTGGACCTGCCTTAACCATTTCCATACAGTTCACATCATGACAATTCATTTCCATTCATGGAGGATCAGAGCCTGCATACGAGTACAGAAATGTAGTGATAGTGTTATTGATCAAAAAAATTAGATGAACTTAATTTCAGAGGTCTGGCGCGAGCCAAACAGGCATTCAAATCTCAGAATTATGAAGACATTATCCCAGCTTGCAGTGAAGAAATTGAAACTGGTGACGATAACCATAAGATGGAAGCTCTAGTTCTCCGAGCAACATTCCATCTGCTCTTGGGTGAACACAGCAAGGCTTTGAGTGACTTCGAAGCTGTAATAGAGAATGAGGAAGCAAATGTGAAGGTAACAAGAGAAAATCATATTATCTCATTCAGTGTAGTTTGAATTAATGTATACACGTATGTAGAGATATTACTGTAAATGTTTAAATGTTGATGAATGCATACATAATTTTAGCAAATCTGAAAGAGAGAAGACCCTTAGGAGACTAAGTGGAGATGGTAGAATAATATTTAAAACAAAAGCCTATATGCATTTTGTCCTAGTTACAGTGTATGTTACTTCTTTAATATGATGAGATTTATTTTGATAGAATTACTGTCTTAAAATGGACTTACAACTCAGATCTTCTGCATTTGTGGAAAGAAAATTAATTTTGTGGTGAAAATACTATCGTCAGGTGAGGTGATCTTTAACTCTTAAAAATATATGCATATCCCCTCATTAAGATTGAATTTGGTATTCATTTGTGTGATTGCAGTTGCGAGTTAATGCCCTTATCAAGAGGGCATCATTATACATGCAACTTGAACAATCTTCAAAGAGCCTAGAAGACTTCAACAGAGCAGCTGATATAGATAAAGACAATTCTGATGTTTACCACCACAGAGGACAGGTATAGTACCAGAATTAATTTTTTTTAAAGTTATATACAAATTTATACATCATGTATTAAATAATAGTATTAGCTATATGTTGTACTGTTTTTATTTGATATTTATATGTCTTCATATAAGACATGATCTAATATTTATGACAACCATCCCTTTTCAGAATACTCCCCACACTGCATGGACTACCATTTCTATAATGTATGCATAGACTTATGGGGGAAAGTTACCATTGTGATGAAATTTTATAAACCAAACTTTAATTACCAACAGATGTTTTTGTTCAGCACAGAAAAACACGTTTTCTTCTTCTAACACATTTCCACATTATATATATGTATGTGTGTGTCTAGTTTGAGAAAAAAGTACAACAGTATAAGAAGTATACAGGTGACTCCACCTTCATGAAGGGTTGCCTCTCAAAACAAAATAGTCCATCACCCAACAACCATTGAATTTTTAGTGTAATTATACAAGCTGACATTTTATTCTGCTCTTTGTGATACCAGTCTTTGTCTCTTCATGCTAGTTGCAATAATAAGATTAAATGGGAAAAGGAAAAACATTTCAAAGTAAATATAGCTTGCTGGCTGGAGGAGTACTTGATGGTCCTGTGTAGACAACAGCTAAATGTTAAAAAAGAACTTCTAATGGGGAAACAGCTTAATACTATTACATTTAATTCATGTATTGGTACTAATAACACTGTCGTCACAGGTACATTTGTTAATGGAGAAAGTGACGGAAGCGATGAATGACTTCAACAAAGCTGTGACTGTGAACCCCGACTTCCCAATTGCCTATGTCCAGAAATGTTACACTGATTATCGATATGCCTTCTCTACCCGCAACATGGAGAAGATGGAAGAAGTAATGAAAGCATTTCAACAGGCCATTCAGAAATTTCCAAAGTGCTCTGAATGTTACACCTTGTTTGCTCAGGTACATTAAAATTCATTTATACATTATTTCTTTTAATATATTGAATTTCATATCTTGCAACCCCTCAAATAGTAGCTACAGAATGTGTGTCTAACCTCAAATCAGTTTATCACTAATCCAACTATCGCACGGTTCTTCATGGCTTACGATAGTTAATTTGGGTGGGTGTTGGACTAGTAGAGCTGGGGTAGCTCATTGAGTATGACTGACTGTAGGCTAGATGATCAGGGTTCAGTTCCAAGCAGGGGCAAAAGAATTTTCTCTTGGCATCTGCATCCAGGCTGACTTTGGATCCCACCCGGCCACCTATCCAATGGGTACTGGGAGAGCCCCTGAGCCCCTTCCCCAGGGGTCAGAGCATGAAACTGACCACACATCTTCGTGACATGGTTATAAGTAGCTTTATCTTCAGTTTTGTTGGTCTAGTACCTTGAAGTAGGTCATGGTCATCGTCTCCCCACTTGTCAATTATCCATAGTCATGTCTCGGAACTGTAGATTGGCAGGCTGTGTATTCCCCTACTTATTGTCAAGGCATGAACAATGTGCACTAAATTTCTGTTTGTTTCAAAATATACATATTTTCTTATTCAAAATTAATACTGATAATTTTAACTTTCTGTTCTGATCTTTAAAGAACAGTAAGTGATTGTGATGTTAGAGAAAACTGAGCTTTCCAACGAAAGAAATTTAGAAAGAATCTTCTCTTCAAGCACCTTGCAGAAATGTGATTATTCTCAAGACTGTAAATGCTTTAGGAAACCATGAAATTTTAGAGAGGCCACTAGGTAAGTGGATGTCTTGGAAGTGCATGATTTATAAGAACGAAGAATATGTTCATCAATCTGTATAAATTGTTTTTCTCAGGTTTTAAGTGACCAACAGGAATTTGATAAAGCAGATACCTACTTTCAAAAAGCAACTGAAGTTGAGCCTGAAAATGCAACTGTCTATGTGCACAGAGGTGAGTAAGATTTTAATGTTTCCCATAGGAAATTAATTATCAGTGAATAAAAGACTTTGAATGAGGGCAGAAAGAATCAATTTACATACCAGGAATACAATATAATATAAACACAAGGACAGATATGATGGAGGATCAGAATAAGCTCAAGAAATGCGTTGAAGAAATTAAAACATGTTCACAGTCATCAGCTATCAATTATTATAAAAGTTCATATTGTATGCTATTTTGTATTTCTTTCCTTCAGGTCTGCTGCAGTTGCAATGGACTGGTGATGTTCCTAAAGCTATAGATATGATAAATCAAGCACTGAAAATGGATGACAGGTGTGAGTTTGGATATGAAACTCTAGGAACGATTGAAGTGCAACGGTAAGACGAGCAAAGTCTATTGATTCGTATATTTGTCAGTTATGTGTCTGCCAGTTACGATTTTCAGGATTGTTAATGCTAGAATAATATAATTCAGAATAGTTAAAATTCATTATGGGAGTTAAACACCAGGAGGTCTATCACAATTTTGGGACTTTTGGTTATTCAGAATAATTGTACATCCTACATATCAATTACAAAGAATGCTGATGCTTAGTGCTTCAAACTGGGTGAAACTAAATATACTAGAACTGATTCATTATTTTTCCTTCTAAGACATTCCCACTTAAGTGGGTCACTTGACATCCAAGTCTTTCCATAGTTCCTACATTGTTTCTTGAAAGCAGGTTACTGATGCTGATTAACTTGCCATAATGTATGTAACTTTGGCTGTAGCAGAAATTAAGTTTGGCTTTAATTAATTTTCAGTGGAAACCTGAGACATGCAGTGGAACTTTTTGACAAGGCCATTCCGTTAGCAAAGACTGAACTAGAGATGTCACATTTGTTTTCCTTACGAGATGCAGCTGTGGCACAAGCAACTGTTGCTGAGAAGATGGGTATCCAGATTGCAAATGTAGATCTCCCATAAGTTTAATTTGCATCATAGCGTGGAATGATCCTGATAACATTATAAAACTAGTGATGGGGCATTGGAACAGTAGTGAAATATGAAGAATGTTAAAATGGGCTTTTTTCATTAAGTACAGAAGATTGGTTCCCACTTCCCAGACAACAACATTAAATATTATTTTGCTTTTAATAAGCAAATACAGTAAAATGGCCATATCAGAGCACTCAATATGTTAGAAGCATATCTGTCTTTGTTCTATAATTAAGAATGTATTTAGTTGGGTTTCCATGCTGTGGAGTTCACTGAGAATTGTATTGTATGAAGAATGTTTGAACTGATCATGTGTTTCAGTGACTAGTTTCTTTAAACTCATAAAGATGTAGTGTCGACACAAATTGATAGATACCGTTTTGAACTAAATACCTTGTTCACATTATGTATCTTCAACGAAAACTTAAATGAGCAGTGCATTTGAAACCTGGGATATTTAGTTTAAAGATGGACATAGATTGAAAATGGCTGTAGTGGTTAATATTTAGGAAGTTGCTTTAATGTAGTGCATTATCAGATATCCAGTGTTGGACATAGAGTTTGAACTAGTGTCAACATTTATTTGGATAAGACTAGATTTTAGATGTATTCAATAGATACTGTTCCTTCAGTTATTACTGTAATATGAACCTGTTAAAATATACATTTTTTGTTTCTGGCTTAGCAATTGGTAGGTCTCGGAATAAGGGCAGTTTTATGCATTTTCATTTCTAATATATAATCTTGAATTTGACCTAACATTATTGTAGTTAATTTGTATATTACATCTGAGATAAATCTTATATATATATCTTTGCCATTTTATTATGTCACCAGGTATAAATATGCATATATTTCAGAATGTACCTTCGTGAAGAGTCAGTGTTTCAGTTACAGAAAATAAAAATAAGGAACTGTGAATAAGAATTTATGAAGAAATTAATGTGTGTGAAGGCCTAATCTCAAGGTCCATCTTTTAGAAATTTCACAAATAATTTTAACAATGTTATCACTTAAGTTTTCCCACAACTACTCAGTTATTTTATATTCAGAAACGTATGACATTACCAACAGTCTTTGTAGTTGTGTATGAGTTCAGATTATTTAATTCTGAAAATTGTCTTTACCATATGATGATAATACTTGTGTTTATATATCCTGACATATTGTAACATGCATGTAGCCGGAAATGAAGCAAGCATTTAAAAAGCTGTCTGAAGAGTATATTCATTGTTTAATGATTTGAGTTTTCCAGTCCTGAGATTGAGTCCCAGTGGAAACTGTTATTACGAAATCTGAAACTTGGGTATTCAAATACTGTCCTACTGATAGTTTCCAATAATTTTTTTGTGATGGAAATGTAAATTGGTCACTTTTTAAAGACCAGGGTTCCAGAACCATTAAAGTCTACTTACTAACCACTCTGCAAAATCCACTGACATATACATTTAGACCAGACAAGAAATGTGCTTGCTATCACCAGTTCCCATTTACTTGTCTCCAGTGAATGGGTAGTGATATTTCTAGAACCCTGTATGACATTTATTTTGAAATATTTCTAATGGCAAAATAGTTTTGAGTCACTATGTAACACAATCATAGTTGTGTACATTTTGCTGAAATAGTTGTGGGATTTTGTACTTAATATGGTGTATCACATGCATACTGTACATCTGCAGTGTTTGAAAGTTGTTAAAATAAACATGTTACATTTGGACATGTGTTTTCTTTCAAACTTCTTTGGATTGATATTGTGCACAAGTGCACTCATTGTTAAAATGTTATTTTTAAAGACTATTTTCTTTAAATTTCATTTTTACGGGAGTGTTTTTCCACCTCCTTAGTTATCCGCACTACTTCAGTTCTGAATGTGCTGTCCCTAACGTTGGAAAAAGTGAATTGTGGTTTCTGAACCTACTGCAGGACACATCCACACATGCTTTAAATGGCTGACAAGTATTAAAACTTTTTATTTTGGGTCAGAACGTCTATTCTTATGGTCATGCCTGTTCAGAAATACCATACAAACATGGGGCTGATTCTCAATGTTTATGAAGCTATGGGGAGCTAAAGAAACAAACACAAAGTTAAAGACATTCATATTTCTATATGTCCTAGACGTGTGATACATGTTTTAGTTTCATAATTTTGTCTGTTACATTGTTTTTACCAAATTACATTTTTGAACAAATGGATATTTTTGGAAAAATAATGTATATATGAATTGTGAGACGTACCTCAGCAAACAAGATGTAACATTCGGAGCAATTCGAAATTTATGTATGGTCTGTTGAAACACTTTCATGTTCTCCATGTTGCAGGTAAAGAAGGCATATCAGTAATCAGTGTAACAATTCTGGACACATGCAATAGGGAAGTTTGTTGATGATGTCATGCACTGCTTCCGTCATTTTCTCCATTAACATGTACCTGTGATGGTAGTGTTACTAGTACTAATACTTGAATGAAATGTAAAAGTATTAAGTCGTTTCCCCATTAGAAGTTATTTTTAAACATTTGGCCAATTACCAAGAGCTTTAAGTTAAAGAGTCTGCACTTGGAATAGGTACCTGTGGTATAACATAATAATTAGTCTGAGGTACATATCTTTCTTAAAATAATTTATGAATCTGTCATTTTTGTCCTTACTATTTCTCTCAAGCTCAATAATTTTGCAACAATGGAAAGAATCAATTGTTGTCCCTATCCATAAAACAAGACAAAACTGAGTGCAGTACCTTCCAAATATTCTTCTGGCACGGTTAACGCCATTTGTGAATGAAACTATCGAGGACGATCAATGTGGATTCCGTTGTAATAGATCAACTATTGGCCAGATGTTTTGCATTCGAGGATGGCAAATGGATGGAGTTGGCTCAGGATCGAGGCAGGTGGCAGGCTTTGGTGTTGTTGGTGCTGAACATGCAGGTTCTGCTACCAGGAAGTTAGCATTCCAGTACATTCATAACAGTGCATAAAGGCATCTAGTGTACATTAAGAGGCTGTTCTCATTCTTAAGCATTCCTAGAGCTCTTCTAACTATATATGTTAAAGAAATGGTAAAATATTCAACAGAACTACAACAACCATCCCACAAAGATAATATGCAAATAAAACAATTACTAACCTTTCATTATCATATTTAATCCATAACAGCATTCACTTGCTTCTTCAACCTTGTTCATTTGTCAAACATACTATATTTTTACTAATCATATTGCACTTTCTGTGAGAAGTAAAACTTTGATCAATAGAGAGCACCTCCATTCCATGAAATACTCGCACATTTTTCTCAGTTCTTTGCCTTAGGACTACATATAACACACAGTTTTGTAACTTGTACCAACTTTTTACTCAGCCCCTCAATACAAAACTATACTATACTAACATGATAATGACTGAATACATGGTATCTCACAAAGTTACGAAACTGACAAATACCTGCTCTTTAGTTATTCAGAAATAACAGATACAGTAAGGTTCAAATACTATAATTTATATTTTAATTTGTATGCTACAAATAACATGTACACTTCAACAGATATTGCTATAAGAGCATTCCAGAATTTAGTACAATAATTTTCCACAGAAAAGATATCATACATGATAACCAACAATGCTTCTCTTCCCAATGCATTCACCAATGAAGAACCATAAAACAACTTCTGCTGTTACTAGAGAGTTTAGCCATGCTTCCTGAAACAGTATAAGCAACACAGAAAACATGGACTGGAGTGTATTGCAGTACTTAATTTCATGAACATTTTATTTATTTAGAAACAGACGCTCCATAAATTATGAAATGCACAAGTCTGTTATCGTTCATGTAATCCATATACTAACTTTTACAGAGGCTTCCTTCCACTTCCCAGTTCGAAACCCTGTGAGCAGTTTCTGTATTCCAGACCGTATTTGTGGAATATCTGCAGGAGTTGGCGGTACCAATTCAACTCTAGCATATTTCAAAAACAGGTTAAATCTTGGAGTAGCAAAGTCAACAACACCTGCAACAAAACCGTCGCAAAAATCAGCCTTCATCCAGTTTACTGTTGATAGATAGTTTTGTGCCTTCTATGATCCAAAATTGGACATGGAATCAGTATATATACAAAAATATACAAATAGAGGGTTTACATACAGACTTTTAACCCAATACATTAACATCTAGTGTTGACGGATATATTAAATTCAACAGAAAGAATGAGCAGTGCTCTGCGTAAAGCTGAATGTATGCCTAATACTGGTATTTCGTAATAAAGAAAATATGGACAAAGACGAAAACAGTGTTTTATATTTAAAATATGACGCAGAATTTTGTTTACAGAATTACCTTTTGCCACAACTGGGCCTTTGGACAGCAAGGACGACAGAGATTTAGCCATCTTTCGTAGGTCCTACCTCTTCCGGAAAGATGGACTACGAGCAAAGGTATCAGTAACCAATTTGCTGAGAAACTTTAGTCTTTAGAGTAATTAATATTCAAACACACATAAATATTACTGTAAAAATTGTGTTCATTCTCGATGTAGATTGTTGTAACATTGTGAGAATAAATTTGACTTCGATTGTAATAATTGGAAAGATTGCAGTAATAATGTATGATTCCGTCACTGCTGCCATCTGGATAAAAAGTGGTCATTAAACGCGCGAAATATAATTTGGTATTACATACGCACATTAAAACCTTATTTGGACTGAAATACCATTTGGATCTCTATAAATTGCTCAAAAAAACAACAGGCTGGAACAAAACCCAATCTATATAGTTTGGGATTTCGGTTACTTTTTAATATCGATAAAACTATAACACGTATAAAACATGTTATCAACATCCTTGGTCAAGAAACTGATGTTGTTTTAAATAAATATTAAAAGGATTTCACATAGGCAAGAAGCATACTAGGCTTTTGAAGGTGCAGGCTTAGGGTTAAAAATCCTCTCATTTGTCGTCAACAGTTTGTTTCATTACCTATGATCCTTTGTAACAAATCCAACAAAGAATTACGAAAACCCAGACTTGTATCTCAGTCAGTTTCAGAATTTTTACCAGAGTAACAAATCAAAATTCAAAATCTGCAAGTTCCCACTCCCATAATAAAATATAAACAGCTGAAAAGATATATTGAATGGTAACATTAAAATGTAGATATCAATTTCTGACTTGAGATGTCAGTCAAAAGTATGTTTATGGCATATTTTTTATTTAGAATTCAGAACTTGCTTGAAATGAAAAAGAAATGATAGTCCCTTTGAATTTTGTATAAGCAGGTTTTGGTTTTATTAGACAAGATCAAAACCTTGTAATTAATTTCACAGTGGTGAAGGTATCAATGTTGGTCTTCTGGACAGTCAAATCATACTACATTTTATGCATATACAAATGTTTTGGAGGAAAATACTACCGCCACATTCACCCCTAAAGATGGAATCAGTAACTGACTTCAAAAGCTAAAGGACAATACCAAATGTATTAGTAATGACATTTTGAAGTCTAGTTAAATCATTCCTATGTGACTTATTTCTCAGCTCTGTCCACTACAAATACAATCACTCAGGTATATTTAAGATTAAATAATTTGTATTGAACATAGACAAATGGCTATATTTAAGTGATTTATTACATTCAAACAGAAATAAGGTTAACAAGCACGAAAAATTAAAAATGTTAAATCTGCAGAAGCATTTTAATGAGGAAACATTTTCTTTTGTTGAAGATTTCTGTCTTCATACTCACAGCTGTGAAAACCTCAAATCTTACATTTTCTGTTGTTTTCCAGAAACATATCTGAGAAGCCAGTAAAACATTTATGTCCTATCATCGCATAATTACATCATTGCATTTCATATTACATATTTATCTTCCCACTAATCATACCCAATCACATTTCTTTTCAACATCTTTCAATATACACCAGTTGGGCGAAGGTTCATCACTTGCCAACCAGTTAAAATCATTTACCAAATTCCAGTTATTTATATTTATATTTAAGCCAGCTATTTTAAAATGGTTCTCCATATTCTCATACTTCCAATTGTAAGGAGCAAATCTCACTTGAGTTGAATCTTCAATAATAGCTCTACTAGTGACATGTAAGTAGAAGTCACAGTCTTTTGTGTTGTGGATGCGCATCTGCTGACAAGCAACAATAAAAATGCAATCTTTACAATCATCAACAAACACTGATGTTGCAATTGGTCCAGACATAACTGTGCAATTGTGAAGTGACGTAATGTGAAGAGTGCTAGGAGAGCCAGTCAGTCTGATAGTGCAGCTTCCTAAATTTGTTAGTAATACATCTTTCTTGCATATTACTTCATGCGAGAGTGACAAAGTCTCTCCCGTTCTATCAGAAAAACCACAGATATTTCCAGCATGCCCACATACAATCTTGTTCAATTGTAACTTGGCAAGGGATGTTGAATCAACAGTGTCTTCAATTTTTTTAAGAGATGATTCCTTTCTAATATTATTACCAACATTCTTTAGCTTAAAACCAAATTTCTTTTTTGATAGCAGTCGTTCTTCAAGTTCCTGACACTTCTGCTGCAAACTCTGAACAGCTTCCTGTGCTTTACGAATGTCATACCCTCGCAGATAGAATGCTGAAGCAGAAACGAATCGCTGAAGACTCTGAATATCTTTGCTGATCTTGTCAAAATGGGAAGGGAGTTGATTTTTATCAACTTCTCCCAAATCAGCTGCATTCAGAGCACTTTCTATGTCATGCCTGTTCTCTGTAAATGTGTCAGCATAGTAGCTAATTTGTTCAATACTTGATGAAGTTTGTTCTTTCTTTTCTTGTTTTCGTTCCAGTTCTTGCTGGCGTTCAATTTCGTGTCGCAGCAACTTCCCTGTAACAATTTCCTTATTCTCTTCAACAGTTAACTTATCCATGTTAGAAGTACAATAAATACTCAGTCACCTGTAAGTCACTCCTTTCACCTATTGGGTATTACACCTCAAGCTAAAGAAATTAAACTAAAAATGTATCACTAGATATCACTAAATACACTATCCTGAACCTCTATGTTTTTTGGTCAAATCTTAATCTTTTATAGCATCAATTCCAGCTTTGTTTTGTTGGTACATTGGTTCTCTAACTTAAGCTGCATGACGAAGATCAATGATAGGTTGATGTCCTTACAAAGTTTCTTCCTTATGTTCTTTCCGAGTTTCAGGATGTTTCTATAACAGTAACACAGAAAGCAATCAGTAATCATTATATTTCAACATTATATTATTTCATCATTCAGTCTCTCAAACCAGAAAATAATATTCAAAATTTGTACTCAGAATGGCAAACTGGTCTCTGTGATCCACTCAATTATGAGGGATGACTCAACCTCTCTAGAAACAACTGTGAAATGGTACAGAATATTTCATGTTAGCTTTCTTTTGAAAGAAAAATTCATGTTCAAAGCAAGAACAGTCACATCCTTAAACACAGTACAGCAGGCAGTGTCAAACAGATACAGGCTGATTTATTTATTTATTACGAAATCAACCACTAAGATTGTGGCATCACTTTGTTTCCCTTTCTTCAACACACAAAGTAAAACTGATGGCATATTTACAATCTCAATATAATCTGAATACCAAATTTCATACCCACTTACAATAATTTATCATGTCATAAAATCAGAAGGAAAATATATATTATATCAAATCACCACATTATTTTCCATTTTAGACACATACACCTCAACAAACATCAAACATTTTTTACAGACTAAGTATAAAAGTTTTCAGGATTCCACAGTGAATGACAGAAAAATGTTCAAACCAGTAAGGGACAAATAATATAAGATATGTATATAAAAGAAGAGTAGTGAGAAACATCAAAAAGCATAACACTCCTTTTATAAAAATGACTTCAATCAAAACACATTGTCAAAAAAGTACCTAAATAAAATGGTGGAAATAAATAAGGGGTGTTTATGTACAGCTGATGTGACACACAGTATGATCATCTTCCACCATACACATGAACAAAATCAGGAATAATTAATCCTATTTTAATTAATTCAATGCTGGAAAATTCATTTATTAAGATCTTAAAATATTAATAACTACACTGTATAAGAGCATAAATACTTTTTTAAACTTATCTCATAACCCAACAGAAAAGTTGACAGTGGAACCACGGTTCCGGAGATTTTGACGTAAACACGTCTGTTATGTAATGTAATGTAATAATTCTTATATAAGATAAGTAACTGTGATATTATAAAAAGGTTTTTACCAGCACAAAATTATCTAGTCTACGACACACTTCTACAGGTGATTCACAGATCAGCTCCTTCCGCAATAACGAAAGCGGATTGTTGACGGCAGTAATTTAACACAACATCGTCGAGTAAACAGATGATGTAACAATTAGTTTCTTAGGTAACATAACAATGCACACAGGAGTTCATATAAAATCAAACCATTGTTGTCAGTCCATATTTACACATTGTTGATATGGATCTTACACATCTTCGTTACGCTTTTTGCCGAATGACCCTTCCGTATAGACATATTTACGTCAAAAAGTTGCATAAATGGATTTTGCAACTTACTTGGATATACATGAAAAATAAGTACCATAACAGTTTTACTTTACAATGATAAACATTCATTACAGTATTAGTTAATTCATACTAATCATTATAATAAAATATAATGACAAGCTCAGTTCAGTTTGATTCTTGTCCTCCATCTGGCAACACCTTAATTTCTCCACCACGCCTAATAAATTTATTTATGCTGTATAAATCTGATTGTTGGAACTACCACTGCTTTCAAATAACAGGGCACTCTGCATGCGATAAGGAATTAATTACTCTGACAACTGAAAATGTTACATGTAAATAATTAAAACAATGATTACAACTTAATTATTCTTTACCTTCAAAGAAATACTCTCATCATTTTTCAATACAAGATTCATTAATGACCAGCCAAATCCACCAACTCCAATTAAATAGAAGAGATCACAGAGCAACCACCCCACATTTTGTGCTCCATTAATTATTCCTAAAATCTATGCATCACTTGAAATTTTGCCCTCTTGTTTCCACAACGTCATATCCAATTCACGTATCTGAAGAGCTTTTGGGTGTGATGAGAAAGATTCTCCTATTCTGTAATAACCTAAAATAAATGAACAGAAGAAAAACATTTTTCATAATTGCTTAAACAGTAAGTCATAAGAGAACACCTTAAAAGGAAGCTACAACCCTCAACAGAAGAGCATAACAACAAGTATATATGAAAGACACTAACTCAGTTACAGTATGATCACAGAGCAAATAAAAAACTTTACATCAGATACAAATAGATAAAAAATGAGTTTTTTAAGGGTAAAATGTATAGCACTATCTGAGCAAAGAACAGAGAATAATTTTTATTGGCTAATAAATATTTTCATTTATAAACTGCTAACGTAAATTTCTATTTTTATGAGTATAATGTTTCTTTCAACTTGTTTGTACTGTTCAATGTAAGATATGAATAATTTTCAAAGGCCTACTGGGTAGTCACACTGGAGTCTTTTGTATTCTTACCTACCACTCAACCTAAATCTAATCTGCGACAAGTTTAGTAATCCTACGAAAATGTTTCAGTATGCACATAACCAAATTCTGCCAAAACATTGGTTTTTGTTTGATGTGTGGGAAAGTGGGGCAAAAACAAAGACCACAAGCACAATTAGGCAGTTTTTTGTCTATTCCAAAATATCAGAATTTCAGTAGCATTACCCTCACATTAAAAGTTCATATTTGAACAACATAAGTCAAAACGTAAAAATATGATGCTGGTATGACATAAACTGTTATGCTATCCATACATAATACAACAAAAACTGTCAAATTAATTTAAAGTACTTAAGAGTATCACACACACACACACAATGATACCTAATCAAACTTTGTCATCTTTCAGAAATCAGATCTTAAACTGTGTCTAATATATTCTTGCAGGATTGTTCTAATAAAGATAAAAAAGGAACATTCATATAAACTGTATATTGGATCAAGTACACTCTACTTACCACCCAGAATCCAGGGATAGTTTTTGTGCATATATAAACGAAAATCTGTAACAGAGAAATGCAGACTGTACGTCATGGAGTAACAATAAATATCCATTGCAGGACGTTGTAAGAAACTGACAATCACGTTTCTGGCACTCAGAATAACTACGGTTTACCGTAAAACCACTTTCCACTTGCTGCCCACTCACCAGAAGATGTGTTCATACGATGCCAAATTCCATATGAAGCTGCAAATAGAACTGCTTCTACAGCGAGAAACACTTTAGCACCACCTTTAACATATCTTGAATATTGTAGTTTAGGATTCTTTCTTAACATATCACCACCAACAACATATAAATACTGTCGGGCAACAACACCTTTTACGATAATTCCTTAACAGGCATTTCTCCTCAGCCAAACAAATTACAGAATTGTGGCCTCTCTGACTATAAGGAACACAGATTATACCAACATCGAACAATTTACAATAGCAAGAAACATCGCTTCATGCGACAACTATTCTGCCATCTCTTAGGGAAGAGGTAGAACACTACGGTCGGCGCCAGTGTATTTGCTCATCCGGTAACACGACCAACTACCCATACAGCTTCCATAAATAATAATTTTGAAATCATGATATTGCAATCAGTCTTACTAGCGTAAAAGTGAGTCTGGCTGAACTGTATGCAAACTGATTTAACCAATTTCTTTTCACTTGTACCCTAATAGAATAATAAAGTTTTCAACAGCATCCAGTACTTTTATTTTCAATTAAATCATCTAGCATTATACCTCTCAATGGCTCATTTCAGCTTCATTCTTCCAAATTTCCTTCAAGGTATCTCTTGGTTTCTTAATTCAACTGGTCTGTATTTTTTAATCAGTTTTGGAGGTCTGCTTTGATTCTACACACATATTAATTCAATTTGTTTAATATTTCAAAAACAGGTTCCACTTTTAATTCCTTTCATGTTCTCATTTCTCTTCTGGTCCTTTCAAATGTCAAATGTATTTTGCTGTTCTGGTTATTAACATGGCATTTTATAACATATTGACGTGGGAATCAATCATTATAATAAGTGGAAGAAACAGGTGTAAATAACAAACAGTCACGAGAAAATTGTTCAAGAGTATACTTTGAATACCACATATAACTGGAAATGCATTATCAATCGAAATTAAGTCATTAAAAGGGACATAAATTCTTTATTTACTTATGTGAACTTTGTTCACTTAATAAAAATAATAAAATTCACAGTACAAAAGTAACTTTTTAAAGTTTAGTTATACATTTTTAATTCAACCATATCTTTCATTAGAGGAAATAAACTGATTCATTAATTAAAACATAGCTAATTATCTTTAATTATGTGATAAACAAAGGCTACACCAATGTCAATACAAACTCCTATGAAGTTTCCATTCCAGAAGCAGAACATACATACACACTATTCTGATTCTTGAAGTCTGTCTTGATATATTATGTACTATCATTGTGATCTTCACAAAACAAGGAAGAATTCTTAAAGCTATTTCAAACATAGGCAACTTAATTTTCTCACATGTAAACATTACTTATTTCAAGACTGAACACTATTCTCATCGCTTCAATGCAGTACTATTCTGCACTCTGATTAACATTGTACAGATTGTTACTTTTTTGGAAAATGTAAAATGAAGACATATTAGAGACAAGATAGGAAAACTATGACTTCGGTTCAACGGCAGATCTACTCCAAAATTTTGTCCAACAAGTTACTGACATCCATTCAAACTGTCTCACAACAGAATACCATAGGCATTGCAGAAAAGTATAATTTAATACAGTTTGAAAATAAGTTTGATTTATTAGTTACTATGAACTAAATTAAAATTTACACAAGTAACTTTAAACTATACATGATTATCTTTACTTCAACCTTCACCTGTACCCCAACAAATTATTGCATGATTGTAATTATTACACTGTAAAATCACAACTGGCTTATAATTACAACAGTTTATTTTCTTGGTGCTAATAAATTCACACTAATACAAATTTCTCAACAGTGGTGTAATTTTGAACAGGAAAAATAAATTTCATTGGGGAGAAAAATCAAACTTGAATCAAAATTGCCAATTTGTAACATCACTGTAAGCATGTTACTGGATATTCAAAGAAACTTGGAACAACAGGAAATTCTTAATGACACATCTGTATTGCACTGGTCTTGACATCAACAAAAGATCATATGTCTACATGGGATGAATTTATTTTTCTCTAATTTTTTCAATATCACCACAGCATTTACAGCTGCAACAGGCAGAGAGATTTTGCCTAACGTAACTGCAAGACAATTTCCCAAGTGGATAATGAATCATCAATCTCCTTATGAATCTGGTACACAGATCACTGAATGAAGTTTGATTTTTCAAGCAACCACAAAAATGGAATAAGAAATCATCTCATGGATATTTAAGGCAATATTATTTCTTAAGAACAGAAGAAAATAGATGATGTGAAGAAACATTTACATCAGTATGTAGATGCAGAATGCTCACAAAGGCTTAGGTGAACTATTATATCACTAGAAGCCTTGATGCTGAGAAAATACATTCATAATTTTCCCAGAGTTATAATGAAATATGAAGAAATTCAATAACCACACAAGTTGAAAATGTGTATAACACACATTCACCTTCAAAATGTGAAAATTTCTAGTACCTCATTCCCAAGGGTGGAAAAGGAAAATCCAAAGTGCCTTGTTTCCTAGGCAACTGAAAGTCTGAAACTGGTTCTTAAAATATTAAAGAGACATACATCATTAACTTTTCATGGTCCAGTAATATCGCACATCATGTATCAATTCACTCTGAACACCATAAAACTGCTGGGTTTAAACGTGGAATATGTTTGAAAGAAAATACATACTGCTTTAATTGAAACTTTAGAAACACAGACCTGACTCTTAAAACACTAAAAATATAGTAGAACTCTCTTTGTTTTGAATCCAATTAGGAAGTGACCATGAATTATTACTATTAAACTTGATACTAATCTTGTTATGTAGACATGAAAAGCCAAGACACACAATGGACTCACAATTATTAGTATGGTGCTTTCAGAAATGTCACTAACCTAAATTTCAAATAAATCAATATATGCATATCTAAAGAGTTTAAAGTATTTTAAAGGGTGCAGTCTGGACTCTAGCTACCCTATTATCTGATTGCAATCCCCAAAACTTTATTTTCTATAACCACTAGGAATGCACCACTCATGATAAGCAAAAAATCATTATTCCCACTCTTTCTGATTCTTAAGAGGTGCTTGATTGAAATAAAACTGCTCATGGTACAGTTAGGGTAAACAACGCAAAGTGGATTAATAATGTAGCTGAAATAATTTATTTTTATAGAGATACTTACTTTCTTACAGATGTTTTGGAAAATGAGAAGAAACACAACCATTTAGTGTGAGCAATACAACAGAAACTTTAAACAATAACAAAAATTGTAGAAGAAAACTACATTCATCAAACTTCATTAACAGAATATGTGAACTGCATGTGACATACACAAAAATGAAGGGCAAACTAATGAATAAGCAATGTAAGCAGTTCTGGTTTAATAATGTGTGCAAAAGGTATATTGAAATCTGACAATAGGAAAGTATAAGCATGTACAGAGTATTCAAGCTCAAACACAACTAAAGATCAGAGAGTAATTTCAGTGATGAGTAAGTACTAACAAGCAGATCTCCCAGAGCCTGTGGAAATTAAATGTGCTGATTGTATTAGCTGCCATGTATGAAATAATAACAAGGGCACAGGAGATGGAAGAGCTAACTCCTATAAGCAAATAATTAAGAAAACAAGTATTTTGGGTCTGACAGAAACAATTTCTGCAGCCAAGCTCTCAACAGATCATACAATGTCAACATTGAGAACAAAGAACAGTGGTTTGAGATGAAGTGCTTGAGAACACAGCAAGAAAAAAGTGAGTATGAAGACACATTAATTCCAAAAAGTCAAATTAGCTACTCAAGTGCTCTTGAGTGGAGTGGATTTTTGATTATATGCAACAAGAGGACAAATTAAAATGACTGTCATTTGGGCTGTAGCACCACGTAGTCTGGTAGAAGCGCTACAACCTAGAATACAGCCATCTTCCTACTCACTGCTGTGAGAACTTCAAATCCTACTAAGAGGGCATGACACTGACTGTCTTCTGGGATCTGAACATACTGTTCATGAATTATAAACTGTTCTTACAGGCACCAATGTTTTTTAGTTATTTTTCCACCCCCAATTACTTGTCACTGTACCTTTTACATTAGCATCAAAAGAGAATGCAATTTTGCATTCCACAGTAACCCACACTTATGTACGACTGCGACAGTCATCTAGAGTTATGTATAAAAATAAGTGGCATAATTCAGCTGCTGAAATTCTTCATTCTCATTTTAGTATATAAGATATTCTGATTGCAACAGGAACTTTATCTTGTAAGACATGGCTTAATGTTTTGGCAATAAAGTAAAATTATGTGAGCTATTTTTAAGATATTTCTCCTCTCTTTAATTTACAAAATTATTTACCAAATTCAAGTCACATACAGGTAAAATGTGTGAAATTATGAAAGACTTAATTACAATATTCAAACAGGATTACAGAAATAAAATGACATGTTAATTAATAGACTACTCTTCTAATGCATCTAATTGATTCTGTTTACACTTATATAACAATGAATCTCTAGAGCAAAAATAATTATGACTACATTGTACATATACAAAGGTGTAGGAATAAACCAAATTTATACTCTTCCCCCATCCCTACTGTGGCCTCAAGCAAATGAAACAAATTCCTGACATTTCAAGAATTTTAATGTCTAGTTTCATCTTTATATTTTATGGAAACACCTATAATTTTTGTAATTACTCTTAAAATCATGACCCATAAATAACTGTTATAAATGTATGGGAAAAACTTACATACCGGTATTTCCAAATGGAACTTTATGTTAAAGATCATATTTATTCATGGAAGTGCTCAGTGGATTTGAAATTGTGATATGATTTTTCAGAACTAAATATAAGCCATAAATATTGTATTATGTCACAAAACGTTATTTAAATTGTAGTGATTTTTCTCCTTCTTCCTCTGATACGGAAGTAACCTCTCTTCTACGATTTCCATTTTACACCGGTTCATGAATGAAAAGATTCCAGTTTCTTCTGCTTTTGATATATTATTGTACCTGGCTGAACGATCTTGTTCTGGGTCATCCCATGTGCTCTTCACTTTGACATTTTAATTCTGTGTCCTTGGTATCCTTGTTCTCTCTATTTGCTTTAAATGGTCACACTGCTATAGTCATTCTCTTGTGTTAACAAAATTCTGATTTGTAAATCCATGCAGACTCAAAGGCAGGTACCAGCATATCAGACAGAGAGGGTACATTTCTCTGAAATGTCACAACCCAGAAGACCAACACTGACACAAAATAACATGACAGCTTGCATAACGAAGTCATTTTAAAGATCACAAATCAAAAGATAAATCCATGTAATATAATTATTACAACATCACATTTGGAAATGTTACAAGTATCAGTAACAAATTAATGAACATAACATATTTAGTAATGCTGAAAAGTACAGGACAAACAAGAAATTATGTAAAATAATTCTAGGCTCAGTTAATCCACAGTTCTTCAGATATAAGTCATCAGATATGAAATTGTTGCAAGACAAGTAATTGAATCAGCTCATAATCATATGACCATAATTTCTTTCTTCATGAAAACCCTCTTTACTTAATGACAGTAACAGTATAAGCCAATAGCCATGACGACAAATTAGTACATATTTGGCTTTATACCCTCATCCTTCCAAGTTAGAACGGGGCATGTATTGTTTTGCGTGACCAATGGAATCCATCCTGTCGACAGAGTGACATCCAGAGAGATGAGAATTTTCAGCACTGACTTACACCACTCCAAGTACTGTTACTCCAGGTCCACAAGTCACAGAAGGAACCTTCCCCAGTAATAAAACTATTACTGGGGAAGTCTATTACAAATACACTGATTTATACCAAACTTATACAGTATTTATACTATCTACATTCCCATCAAACTGAGTTTTTCACACAATAATATCTATTTCTGTGAGAATATTAGACTTAAATCCCTACTTACTTGGTGTTCATTCCGAAACAATAATAAATGATAAGTATTACTTGTTAATTAAATATTAAGCAAATATCAGTTCACATGTTACACCACAATTTCTCGACAGATTGCTTTGAAACAGCCTTCATGACAAGAGTTGTTTGTTACAGCGACCTCAGAATTCCAACCTCTGTGAAACACAGGAGCACAATGCAACACGTAACTTTGACAGCTAAAGCTTAAACCTTCAAATACAAAGTCTTCTACTACAAGTTCTCATCAGTAGAAGTTAATAGCCATTCAACATACAATTATTAACTGGCATGCAATGGGATTAAATTACATCAACCTTAAATTCTGCTGGTGATATGATTTGTCATCGTGGTCTCATTATCAGCAACTGCGTACAGCACTTCCTTCCTTGATTCCTTCACAAGCTGACACTGGAAGTGTAAGTGCACCACCAATTTCAGTAACATTCACAATAAAATTCATAAAATACAGGTCATTAAACCAAATATACTTGTAAGGCAAGATATTATTGAAATGAAGGTACAGAAGGTAGGCTTTTCAACCACATTTCTTCAGCTTTCCTCTAGTTTCATTAATATTCACTATTCTGGATTTTGTTCATCCATTATGTGTTCAGTTATAATTGAGTAATCCATGTATATAATATATACTGTACTTTCAATTACAAAATGACGACAAAATCCTGTTCACAGGAAGTGTCTGGTATTACATTATCATGGCAGTTAATATGTTCAATATTTCTAAAGCCACGGTGAGCCAGAGTAAGAGATGGGAGTACAGGGAAGGTGTAGGAAGGGATGTGCTGAAGAACTGCAGCTACTATGACCCCATGTCAAGCCATACACTCCCATTTGATGATGAAGATGCTGCATCTCCCAAACCTGAAAGAAGACAATGATAAACTATGAACTTAATTATTACACAATTTTCTGCTTCCTGTCACCAGTACTAACTATGAAAACACGCATATATATAAATATTAAAATATATGCAATTATATTTCCATTCTCTGTTGTGTAGGGGTTTTTAAATAAAGTATGGAGGATAAAATATCACCGAAAGAGAGAAGAAATGGTAGACTGGAAAGATTACACAGCAAAAGTTCTTCACCTAATATGGATAAATGAAGGTTGAAACGGACAGATCATGTGGCACAGATGGCATAAACAAGAAATGTAAATAAAATTTAGAGTAGTAAAATTCAATGGAACAGACCTTCTCAGAGACTCAGACCCAAGAGGGAGATGTCACCTAAATTCAACTATCTCAAAATAAGTCAAATAATGGTGGGATTTTGTATAAATGTGATTAACTCTTAGATTTCTTAACAAATATAATTTATGAAAGTTGTAAGTACATACACATTTCTCTGGGAATATTCTATACCAAGAAGTAATACAGTTAAAAAAGTTTAACTTTAAAATACACTTCTATTTCCAACTTCCATGTAAATGTCTGTAGTGTTACTTTATACAGAGTTTTCTACTAACTGGAACAACTTGCTGAAAGTGTTTTTCTCAACCTTAATTTGTGGAAAGAACAACCAACTATAATTTTAACTATTTTATGCCTGGAAACAAATTATTATAATATGCACTCAAAGAATCAGTCACTGAATTTTTGTTCTGAGGTAATCAATCAGGAAGCATAAAAGGATAAATTTAAGAGTTCTGCACCCTTATTTGTAAGAAGAGGAAGCATACTTCTACAATTTAAAGTTTTCTTCTTCAGTAGTTTCTGCCAAGTGGTCCAATAAAAATTATCTTTGCAAGATTTAATTCCCTTCTAGCTACTGAATGATTAATTGTAACATACCATGTAAAGTTAATTTAATTGAGTCTGAGAGCATTCATGTAAAATTTTCTCATAAGTCTGATCTGGAGGTAAAAGCAGAGTAATGTGCATGTGTTAATTAAACAGATTAATTCAATTCAAGCAAAAGGACAAATCTCTGAAAACATTGCTCACCAGATTTAGGTCTTGGGTTTCGGTGCTTGTTTGCAGGACCCCATATTCTGATTGTACAATCATCAGAAACAGATGCTAGCATCTGGTGATATACTGGATTCCAGGCAACACAGTTTACAGTGCGAGTGTGACCAGTTAGAGTAGCAACTGGAAGCTCACGCTTGATGTGCCACACATATACTTTGTTGTCTGTAATGGACAACATCAATTACAAGAACTGTGAAGGATCAAAAGACAGTATTTTTTAAGTTTTCTACATTACTCTATATATAATGCCAAGTTCACTTAGAAATTCTATTTGTTGATATCAATGGACACGTCCATGTTATGGTATATGCGGTAATAGTGAAATAAAGTCTGGCTCGAAACTGTATAACACGGAGACTGAAATCCCATATTCCTATGCGATTAAGGTTAAAACAGGTTTCATTTTTAAGGATTGGACTGAGTTGGCGCAATCTGATGACTTTAGTTGGTGTGATAAATTCTTGGATTTCTTACACAAGGGAGTGACATATGTGACTGAATAATCTTATTCACAAGTGTTGATTGATTATTATAAGTTGGAAGTCCATTTACCTTCACTTCCACTTGCTATGAAGTCTTGGTTAATTCCACCAAAACAGCTGTGGATTGTGAAGTGACCTTGAGTAACCCCTTGGAACTTTCGTACCAAGCACCGATCTTGAAGGTCCCATAAATGAACACCTTGTGTAGCCACGTTGAGCAAAGCCAAGCGGTCAGTACGGTTTACTGAGAAAGCCATTACTGGATGATCCTCTTGCAGTCTGCAAAGCATCCAATACCTGAACTAAATACATAGTCATCAAAATGGCACTGTCTTGTTGGGGACACAAGCAGTCCTGAGATCTTAAGAAACCAGTTTGGTAACTGTCAGCTGAAAGAATATCTACAAACAGATTATACTCTTTACTTTAAATTTAATTATTCAAGGTAAAATCTCAGTATAACCAACCTTCATGAAATGACAAATTATATTCATTACAATGAAATGCTGTTTGTTTTTCCTCAGTCTCTCCAGACATGTCAAAATAGTACCTCAAATTATGCCATGACTGCTTCCTTCCACAATGTTTCCAGTGTTGTTAAATAAACTATATTTATACAAAGTTAACCTCTATTACACCTTTCAGACCCTGTTAATTCTTGACAAGGCTGAATTTTAAATAAACTAAAAAAGAAAAAGAAACATTGTACTTACATGTTGAAGTCTGATAACTCATCAAAGTTGTATCCACGAACACGATGATGAGTGTCGGCAGCAAGAACAGTCTTACCATCACTGCGGCACCATAAGCAGTTTACTCTAACACCTTCCCAAGAATCCAAAACATTGCCCTCCAGATCCTACACAACATATCAATGAATTTACTCTGTGCAATTTATATATAAAGAAAATATGGTAATATGAACTGCTGAGTAATGCTATGGGCACCATTAGAACCACAGATAAATAAATTTTGTCAACATTCTAAATGTATTGTAGAACAAAATCTATAATAAACCTTTACATAATTAAGCATGCTGCACAATTACTTTAATATTACACATCTTCCAACATGTTTCAAAGCAAGGTTTGGTACCACTTCCCCAATTATTTGCTGTATTAAATGTGGTTACGACAAGTCATTTAAAATCAGAGAGATGTTGTGTATTCAAAACCATACTGAAGGAAAATAAGAAATGACAAATGAGAGTGTTACAATATTAAAATTATGACAACGGATACACATCCAAAGAGGTTATAATAAGTCTCAATTTTTTAATGTACTACAGCAATCTTGAAGAGAAGTTGGAGAAAATTAAAATTCAACATATTACAAAATAAAATTCATTCTCCCATATGTTGATATGGTGAACATATAAAGGTTAATTCTTTGCAATAAGTGGCCTCCTGCCTGTTCAAAATGTAATTCATGCTTCTACTTTAATTAGAGTTGCTAATATGAAATATCACTAAAATCTCTTCTGGACTACTTGTCACTTGGTTAAAAATGGACATGCAAACAAAAGCACATCTACATATCACAATATAAGTAAAGAATGCCTAAAAATGATGCATCGCAAATTACAAATGTCATGTAAAACTAAAATCCCATAAAATTAAGGAATAAAAAAGTCTAATGGTGAAACCAGCATTTAGAATGACAAAGAGATTGCTGGGAAAGTATTCAGTTACTCCATTAGCAGCAATGGAACTTCAACTGAGAACTCAGTATTATGACACACACCTGTGATGCTAAATTACATACATATTAGTGTGATACAAGTGGGTTGACTGCCAACCCTGCACCAAAGTATACTGAATACTTGCACATTGGTAGAACTGTCCCCGTATTCCTCCTGTAACGAACTTCTTGCCATCCCGATGCCATGAGCAGGAGGTCAATGAGTCTTCTGGTGAATGAGACACTTTAACACGTAGTTCATCTGATTCAATATTCCATATCCAGAGTTCTGGACAGTCCTCTGGACCACAGGCAATGAGATGCGTGCTATCAGGACTCCATGCAATGTATGCCACTCCATACGAGTGACCCTCCAAAGTTTTACGATGGCTGCAAATTAATGTATCCTGTAATACAAAAGTAAAAAACTATCAATATATTTTATTTTCCTTACATTACACATTAGATTTTAAAAATATGTGTATTTTTAAAATAAACCTCTCACTGCTTACAAAACATCTCATCACTACTCAGCACATAACCTTTCAGAACGGAAGCTATGGGTAGGAGAGAATGGCTTAAATAAAGGCAATTTGCTTCCGAAGTTTAATCCTTTCACTGAAATAAGCCAAAGTAAGGCTAATGTCAACTTAAGACACACGTGTGCTGGATTTTACAGGTTAACAATGTGTTCACACAAGAATAGATACATTTCAGAGCAACTTACTGCCCCAACCTTTAAAGCAAAGTCAGCCCTGAAGATGAAGACAATGTGTTCCTCAAAAATGTATCTACTTATGTGTTCAAACATTCTTAACCCAAAAACCAACACTGATATTTTCACGAATGTGAGAACCAAATTTCATACAGATACATGCAGTTCAAATTCCAATCACTAGACTGACACTTTTTAGCGAGGTTTCAAGGAGTGCAAGAATGAATCATGATCAGAATATTAGTGGTTCTACATTTCATCCCCAGTTAATTGTCTTTATGCAAACAGTATCAAAGTGAAAATATGAAAGGAATTCAAATAAAAATTCTTCACTACAAATTATTACAAAATTGAGAACTATAAGTAAAGCATTTCCAAATAATTAATTTCTTACATTACATCCTGAAAATGCAAAGAAATTAACCATACACAAGTTAAAAAAATAATACCTTTAAAATAACAATTGTACTTACTGGGTCAACATCCCATATTACAACTGTAGTATCCTTTGAGCCTGTGGCTAGTTTCAGGCCATCCGGTGAGAATCGGCAAAACCACACTTCATCACAGTGATCATTAAGGATTTGTATTGTTTCACATGGGAACTGTTCTCTAAAAACCACATACACATAATTACAATAATTCCACTTTTTTAAAAACAGTATCAAGAATGGACCACGATTTCAAACCAAATACTGTAAAATAAAAAGAGATTGATTTATAAACAACTTCTACTGAAGAACTTTAAACAAAGATGACACAAACATAAATATTTTCTGATAAAACGAAAAATTAATTTATATTTCTAACTTCATTCAGCACAGCTTTTCTTAAGAAATTGCTAGTTTCTAGGCTTGTCAAAAAATTTCCTGCCTTTTATGGAACCAAAAGATTCACTATTATGTTGACAACAGCCGAAAAACAGACCTTGTCTTTGGAATTTATCCTTATAATAAGTGCTATACCAGAATGCTTAACACAAAAGGAATTAATGCATTTCAAACTCTACAGATTATATCCATTAACAGACTTGCAACCTAAAGCACAGTCAGATCTGACATGGTTTCCTCACCTGGTGCAATGATGGTCTACAAGCAGAGAAACACTTTCAAGACCATCCTCAGTTTTTGTATTGTGGTATGGACATTGGTGTTTCTGATGTTCTACTGCTTGGCATAATAATGTATGCAACCTGCACAAAACAGGAGCACAGTCTAATAATTTACCAAAGAAAAACTCCTCCTAGTAGTAAATACACTCAAACATCTGTTACATACGCTCTCTATAAGTCACCGTTGCATCTGCTCCCCGAGACCCTCAGGGACGTGAGCCAACTGACCCACTGTATCCACATGCGCTAATGTGATACACAGCACTAGCATTACATATCACTCCTTTAACCAAGAATGGTTAGATGAGCTGGACATGTATCACAATAAAACCATACATTTCTGAAGTTTTATGTAATAAAATTTCATCATGTAATAATTTTCCATAAATTAAGTGAGTATAGCATACCTGTGAGGAGGAAGCATTATGGAGGGAGGTAGAAATTCTTGGAGCTTGTCCATAAGCTGAGTTCGAGATTTTAAGCCTTTACCTTCCCAGCTGGCTCGAATCTGAAGCTCTTCACGTCCGCTGCACATCATATAACTATAAGAGTAAAGAGACTGACTGTATATTCACATCATCATCACCACGGTGAATCATCTTATAACAAATTCTCATCCTTTACATTATAAAGAAGACTGTTTTTTTAAGAAAATACTTCTTACAGCCTAAAGCAAGCTTATAAGACTCGATCAGTCCCTGTAATGGCAAATGTGCAAAAAGCACCTCATATGTGCCATGAGTTACATTCACAGGCTTTCTGAAAAACTAAAGCAGATATCTGTGTTTGGTTTCAAAAAGTGAAGCCACGTGGAAAGATAAAAATCTAAGAATGTGGATGTTTATCTGTGCCTTCTTAACACACACCTGCTAAGTTCATGCACTCTGACTGTGTTGTGCTGGAGGGGAGTTAGTTCATTACGAAGTACATGTAATGCATCCAGCACACGACCATCCTCTAGGTATTCCAAGTATTTCTGTTCAAGTAATAAAAACTTCATTTCCTGAAAAAAAAGAAAGGCACCACTGAAAATGGCTGTCTTCTGGGTTGTTGCATTCTGTATTGTGGTAGAAGTTTACCGACGTTTCAGAGGTCTTTGAGGCCTCCATCATCAGGGTGATGACCTGATGATGGAGGCGCAACAAGCCATCTTCAGACTCACCGTCATGAAAACCTCAAATCCTACATATTTATTTATTTATGTATAAGCAACTTGACTTTTTAATAAACTCAGTAATTTATGGTTGTTATGAAACCTCATGATCAAGAATTAATTAGAGTATGACTAGACAAACTGAAGACCATATTCATGCCTATTAATGTCTATAACATGGATTATGTGCCTTTTCAAATTTCACAAAAGAAGTACCCGGTGCAAAAGACATTGAAATACATTTTAAAAGTTTAGTTAAAGTGCAAGTCTTAGTATTAGCATGTAATTTTTATTTCGTCAATTGAACCCCTTTCCTCCTCCCTCAAAATTGCTGTATCTTTATCAAAGTAAATACAATTAAAAAATATGATTTTAATTTTCCAAACAAAAAAACTTACAAGAAGAGTTTCAGATGAGCTCTCCAAGAGCGACTTCAATTCTGCCAAGTCATTGTCAGCCTGGTTAAAAAAATCAAATATTAAGACTACTCAAACAATAAATATTTCACAGAACTCATATATCCTGCCACATTTTTTTCACAATCCTATCATATGGTCAAACAACAAACTCTATGGTTATATTACAGACATAACCTCGCAAAAAACATGTGGCAATATTCTACACAGCTTATTAAAACATTTTTCCATTAATTATATATGCACAGCCAATTTACAATTTAAAGAGAAGGTATAAATGAAAACATAACTATGTTTCTAAAAAGCATGTACTTCTCAGATTCAAGCAACCTCTTTGAAATGTTCATGTAATTACAAATACTTCAAATATGGCTGTTAAGAATTAAAGCAATTTTGTTCACTACAAATATGAAAAAAGTAAACTGCTCAAAAAATATGTTACTCAATATAACTCTGTGGTACAGAACAATTATGTTTACTCAGGGGGTCAAATGGAGCTATTGCAAGTGATCGTGGGCAGAAGGTCCAGCAAGAAAAATTTAGTACTTCAAAAACAGTTAAAAGAATCATCAGTTATTCATATTGACTGACCACAATTTACGTTACCAAAATACACAAAAATCACATTATTAATAATTCATACAAACATGATAACATAAGCTCTGACAAATTGAACATAATCTGAAATGGACTCTACTCAACTATTAATAAATTACAGTAATAAATACACACATTAAGACTCCAACATTTTTGTATCTGATAAGTATTGATTTCTTGTGATTAACAATAACAAAATAACACTGTGGCCCAGACTGAATTTTTCTATGGGTCATATCTAGCCGCCAACATCATCATCATCATCAACCCTCACCTACAACATTAAGATTAACTGCACAAAACACACAAGCAACAGAAAATGTTGATGAATTACCTTGCTCCATTCACCATCCATGACATGCTGTCTGAACTTCGCAGCTGCAGGATGGTCCAGCCGACAACCAGACTCCTGCATCAGCAGGTCAACAGTTCGACTGTAAGGGGTCCAAAAAAAGATGCTCACATCAGTGCATTTGGCTTCAAGAAAAAGAAAATTTATAAGTAAGATAAAGTTTCCATGGTTCTTTGCTAAGAACATTCCATGCAAACATGTGGGGGAGTGGAGATAGAGCTCCACACATTCTTAACCTAACACTATATATATATAAGTGATTACTTTCAAACCCATCACTTTACCCCTGAGGAAAGAAACACAGTACTCAATGGACAGGAGGCTGGGTGGGCCAAGAGTCAGTCTCAATGTTACAGTCAAAAGAAAAATTTTGCCCTCTAAGGAAATGAACCCTGGTCATCCTGTACATAATTATAATTCATCCCATTAATCTGCCCTCTTTAATTGTAATACTTCAGAATATATTATTATTAAACACATTCTGAAATACTAATGGAAAATATATTAAAAGGACCCAAAAAAATAATTTTTCTCTCTTAGAACCATTAAATTACTACATCAATTTGTTGACACTACACAGTCTGAGCTAATGAAAGTGACAAATAAACCACAAACATCAAATAAAATAATTTCAATTATTCAAATTTCATTTTAAGTTTAATATATATATATATATAGAGAGAGAGAGAGAGAGAGAGAGAGAGAATGTGGTTCATCTGCATCAAATTCAAGGTTATACAGAAACTCCATAAGAAATACTAATTTCAGTGAACTTTCAACCTAATACAATGTTATTCAGCACACAAACCTTTCTGAAGTATGATGTAGTTTAACATAACAGCACAGCACACCAGCATTAACCCATAGACTATCACATGACCAAATTCATGGTTACTTTGTCATTAGTCAATATAAGAAAAAGAAAACTGTTAATATCCTGTAGCCACTGTGTAAAATTTTTCCTTAATAATTTTCATGCAGAATTCAAAACAACATACCATGTAGTTTAACATAACAGCACAGCACACCAGCATTAACCCATAGACTATCACATGACCAAATTCATGGTTACTTTGTCATTAGTCAATATAAGAAAAAGAAAACTGTTAATATCCTGTAGCCACTGTGTAAAATTTTTCCTTAATAATTTTCATGCAGAATTCAAAACAACATACCCATCATGCTAACTGTATAAATCCTACTTTTGATGAAATATTACAGCTTGGTATATCAACTTTAGTATCTAAATTGGATTGTAAATTTACATACAAACTTTTCTATGAAAAACTACCTTTCATACACATACAAATTTTCTGAGATGGAATCCTTCAGATAGTAGAAACCTACACTAGCTGAAACACTGTACATATATACATTTTAAAACCATCACTTTACAATTTCTACTAGTTTTTGTATATGACAAAAGGTAGTGACTGTAAGTTCTTGTTCAGGCTTAAATCCATATGTGAACCTACAAAACTAGACCTCAATTGTCAAACACTGTATATTTTGGTGACCTGTAACTATGATCATTATTACTTTCTACCAAAATAATGCTTAAATTTAACATAACCTAAACCTTCTGTTTCAGACTCCTCAATGAATACAATATATACTAGTTCACATTTTTACTTACTTTTAACTGCCCAGCTGTTAACATGGTAAAATTTTGCTTCAAAACAAATGGTGATATTAAATGGTTGAATTTTGGCACTGTGAGTAACAACAAAATTGTAAACTATTTAATGTAGCCTCATAGACGGGAAAATAATTATTAAAAAATAAAGGACAGACTAGAATACCGTCTCCAGAGCACAGAAAACTGTCAAACTGATAGTTTTCCCAAAGTGTATATTAATTTCTCACTGTACACATTCACAATGTGGCTAGAATACCTGATACTGACCTTCACTATCTGTGTGTATCAGACCCCTTATTACAGTTACACAGTGCTTCATTTTATTTACACGTTTAATCAGGTTTTCTAAAGTATATAATCGACACAAGACAAAATGGTACAAATCAAAATTCTGAGGGGCAATATGATCACTGTTTATAATAGTCAAATTTAACATCCAAATTTTTTGCAAAATACCTCAGGATCAAAGACAGCTACAATGGCAATCAATTTTGAATCTATCTAGATTTCTTACCACTATCTATTTCTTGATTAAAGTTAAGATGGAGTAATAAACATTACAAACAATGAATTTTGGAGTTTCATTATGACCTGTTCAAAGTGTTCTGAATCAAACTAACTCTCCTGCTCTTCATGCATTAAATGTAGAAAATTGGGGATAAAAAAGATAACTTTCTCATAAGAAAAATGTAATGATTTAAAAGGTAGAAAGAAATGAAAGAATGTGTAAAGATTTAAATATTTATTATGATAAGCACATAAAAGTAAATGCATGATAACTGCCATGTTATAAATTTCCCTGTTTACACAAGCAAAATTTAAGATATAACACATGATTATATTTTAGTAAAGAAAGTGTGTAATATTGTTTGACATAATGGAACAAAATGTTTAATCTAAATTTAAAGTTGACGTGCTAATGCATATGTTATGACAATACAGCATGCACTTTGGCCTTCGGACATTACAAATGTAATAAACAATCGTGGCTAGTAAGCATACTGCAACCTAGCAAACATTCTATCTCCAACAGAACTTGGGGCTCCTACTAAGAAGGGCACAAAATCCTGGAAATTTTCAACACCAGATAGTTTAACCATTATTTCACACTGGAACGGCTTCACAGACATTCATCTCTGCACTTCTATCCTGTCTTAAGAGATTCCTTTTCAGAACAGTTCACACTGGTCAAGCAAACCAAAGTGGCTTCTTTACTGTGAAAAATCTTCTTTACGGTAATATATATTTTTCTTCTACAGTGGGATGTTTCAATGATCACAATGCACTTTCAAGCTTATTTAAAATGAAACACAAATCCTTATAAATGGTCATACAATTCGGTTTATTACTCAGAACAATGATTTTTCTCATTTAACACTGTAAATGTTATTATGATGACCCTCTTCCAATTGGGATCACTCTTTCATAATGGTGTCCCTTTAAAAATGACAAGGACAACAAATTTATTTCCCAGTACGTTTTTAAATTTTAATATTCTTAAGCAGTAACTTATAAATAAAGATTTCATTCATGAACAAATTAAGAGCAGATTGAATTCGGGGAATGGTTGCTGACATTAAATAATATCTTCTGTTTTCGCTTATCCTGTTAAAAAAATATAAATTTTAAACTATACAAAACTATAAATTTACCTGTTATTCTGTTTGGGAGTAAAACTTGAGTGTCTCATTAAAATGGTCTATTTGGAGAAGAGTGGTGGTATGGTAAACGCTCAGAGAGACAGGCATCTTAGGAGGAGGAGAACAGAAGTAGAAGGATCAACTGTTGAAACTATCAACTGTAAGAGATTTATATGGTAATACAGACACTTGTGGAGAATGGGGGGAAGTAGATGGCCAAAGAAGATACATAACTGGATGCCAGTGGAGCAGAGGAAGAAAGATATACCAAAGAGAAGATGGAAGGATGACAACAACTTATGAGATGTCAAGGAGACTCATGAGGAATGTACAAGGTGACAAGCAACAACAGCTGTAATCCCTTACGTGCAAAGAACTAAAAACAAAATTTAAATTTCTTATAAATGGAGGACTTTGAATAACCCTGAATGCTTTCTGCCACAAATATTCATCTCAATAATATGTGTAACTTATTTGGTTAAACCTTAATGATATATCATAACTGCTGAAATCATGAAAATATGTTGAATGGATGGAAGTTTAGAATTATAGCCCACAAAGGAAAACAAATGTTATAAAATTAACAAATAGATGGGGTGACCTCATTAGATGTTGGTAATGAAAGAGGTAATTCTGTATGATCCTCAGATGGGGTACATTTGATATGAATATGAAAAGCTTAAGTTAGTAATAACTACATAATTCAATGATGCATTTTTGTGTACAATCTCCAATAGTAAAGATTCATGCTATGTTAAAATTAATCTCAATAACCTCAAACACCCACACTGTTGCCAAGTTTATAATTATCAACTTAGAAAAATGTTTTGAAGGAAAAAGCTGCATGTAATTTTAACTGCCTACCTCCAGTCCTTCAGTACACCATCGAACAGGAAGCCAAATATAAATTTTGCATGACCACCATACTATTTTACATTAATCAGTAACACCTTACTAAATGGTACAAGGGTCTATTACCACATAAAATGTCAGTGTGTTGCATTATGTTGTGTTAGTGTCATTCCAACCTCACATGTTCCCACAGCAGCCACATCATTACCACTAATGGTACAAATGTGATAAGCCATACCAAGTTCAATAAAATCCATCAAATGGTCCAAAAGTTATTAGATCAGGCACAGACATAAAACATGTTGACACCATTAAGTGTAACTTTACTTGTAAAATGAGGAAAATATGCCTACAAATTATGGTTATAAACACACACACACACACACATATCTCCACTTTCAGACTTTTATTATATCTACAATTACAAAAGGTGGCTGAACATGCAAAGTGTGAAATGCCATAAGTAATACAGACAAATCAGATTTAGCAGACTGCAAAATGACTAGTAAAAAGATGCCTCTAATTACAAACTGGATGTTGGTGATACAACTTCAGTACCATAAATACTGACAGAGGGTAATCTTGTTGCTACTTTATGGAGAGGCTGACATAACAGCATGTCACAATATTACAATCATAGAATGACTCGCTCACTTGCTCTATGGTGCAGGAAATTTTCTAGAAAGTCGACTGTATACTTGGCGTGTAATTTTTTTTTTATGGAACCCAAAGGTTCATCACCATGATCATTAACGCCTGCCACCTATCCTGAGCTAGTTGCATCAATTCCTATCTCCCTGAGGTCCATCTTAACGCTATCCTCCCACCCTTATGGAACCCAAAGGTTCATCACCATGATCATTAACGCCTGCCACCTATCCTGAGCTAGTTGCATCAATTCCTATCTCCCTGAGGTCCATCTTAACGCTATCCTCCCACCCATGCCTAGGTCTTCCCAGCAGTCTCCTCCCTTCAGGCCTACCTTGTAAACATCCCGCCCATCCCCATGTCACATAATGACTAGCTATATTTAAAAAATAATGTTAGCTATCTTCCTAAACTTAAATGTAGTACCTTGTTAAATGAATCATTGTCATGATCATAAGCCCTGTATGTCACATTCACGTTGTCTAGAAACAAAACAAAAACTTTCCAAACCACATGGGCTAACACTTCAGCACTAACATAAGATCAGCCAATATAAAACTCTTGAGCAAAAGACTGGACTGTCATGATATAATAAATAATAAGTAGGTCAGATATGAGCAGGAAAAAATGTTTAAGAACTGTTTGTGAAAAGATGATGTATATGATTGTATACTTACATGTGAATCAGAGTCCACATATTAAGGCAGTCTTCAATTGATGCATTACAAAAAATTTTTGTAGAATATAACACAATAACATGGGAAGATTTCTGTGATGCAAAGATGGTTTAATTAAGATGGTTTAATTAAGAAGTACAAAAGAGGAAATGGGTACAAGAAAGTAAATAAGTTTCAACTACTGTAAAAAAAAACCAGAACAGGAGGTAGCATGAAAAACATCATACTGGAAAACCAAATTAAAACAGACTTAAATATGAATGAAAATCCTTTTCACCAAGCACTACAAAATTATGTTGGTGGAATAACATGGGCACAAGGGAAATGTTTGACAGTAATATGCATAGAGGGCAACAGGAAACTGCACTTCAATGTTTCACTACACTGCGACTACCTCTACCTACCTCCTACATAAAATGTTTTAAGCAAAATACTGGTTACATACACATACGATGTTGCATCACTGTTATACTTGTAAATGAACTGCTAAATCCAGCACAGCCGTGAACAGCATGGGTGGCCACATTTTACTTGACAACATTGCTAATGCCAAGTAAATTATGCTTAAATGTCCTATCAACCCAAAATGAAGATAAAAAATGCCTAGAACAACTCTGGAAAATAGAAAAGAGTTTCTTATTTGAAGACATGCCGTGGTTTAGTAATTGTATTTCTAACAATGCAGTCACTACACATTTAATTTCTTATCAATCCATAGTAATTTAGTACGTTCAAAATGATATCACAGAAAAATATGATGGATACAGCTCCTACTGCCTATCTACAAACGTGAATACCTAACATCAGACGCTATGCAAATAAAGAAAGGAATGCCTGACAAAAACAATATGAATAAACTGAAGCATCACATTCACTATGGAGGTCATTTATAGGTCAAAATGGCAAGACGTCACTAAACAGTTTCCAAATTTTACTTGTCACTCTTCAAACTTGAAACGCAACAATTAATAATGCAATATAATGACAGTGGGAAATGTAAGCAAACATACTTAAGCCCTATCGTTTTAAGGTGTTGACCAATCAGTCGCACAATGTCTTGGTTGGTCTTGTCTATTATCTTAGGTGAGAAATCTCCGTTTGGTCCTCCATTAATTGCATTGTTCTCGGACGTAAGTTCGGTGCCATTCTGTTGACTTGAAGATGCTGAATGGTCTTCGGACACTCCATTGCGTTGCGTACAGCCATTTGCTGCTTGCTGCATTGTAGCGTCCAAAGTACGTGATTTTTTTCGCGGTGGCGGAGCAAGTCCACCGTCGTCCGACTCTCCGCTCGAGGCCAGGCTTGCTAACAGGTCGCCGTGATGAAATTTTGGGGCGCACACGATATTTTCCGAAGAAATTTTGTGTGATTCCAATCTTGACTACTCACACACAACACAGCATACACCTTCGCCACAGCTGAGCAATGTTTAGATTGTGACGTCAGGAACAAGGACCTGGGCAAAACGATCGTCAACTAGCACTGGCCAGCAAATTCAATGAAACGTGTAACTTGAATGCGAGTCACAAATATTGTTCTGTTCAAGTTCATATGACTATCGCTAGATGACAGAAGAATAAGCTTATAGGTCCAGTTTACAAGAATACTTGATAGATGGCAGAGGAAGTGCTTCTTGGTCGTAGCCTTCACACAAATACGACTAATAGATGGCAGAGGAAGCATGATTTATACAAATCAACGGGCCGCTTCTCTTCAAATTATGAGCAACAGATGGCAGGAGGAGCTTTATTCCTGGAAATTAACTTTAGTTGTCTTACAAATGTGACCAATAGATGGCAGAGGAAGCATGATACATACAAATTAACCCGCCATTTCTGTTACAATATTGAACAACAGATGGAAGGAGAAGCTTAATTCCTGTAAATTAACCCATAGGTGTCTTACAAATGTGACCAATAGATGGCAGAGGAAGCATGATGTATACAAATTAACCCACTATTTGTTATAATTTCATACAACAGATGGCAGGAGAGCCTTATTTATGTTAATTAACCCTCAATCGTCTTACAAGTACACCTGATAGATGGCAGAAGAAAGGTGTTTTATACACATGAACCGACCTTTACTCTTACAATTATGAGCAACAGATGGCAACAGGAGCATTATTTATGTAAATTAACTCTCAGTCATATTACAAATATGATCGATTGATGACAATATAAGTTGTTTTTATACCCTGTAAATGTTAATTTTCTGGTCAATGTAGGTTTGGAAGCTGGTATCGACACGGGTATTTTCACTACATAATAGGAGAATGAAAAAAGGTCCACCCTTTTTGTGATCGTTAAATGACAAAAGAAATTGTGTTGTTCATATAAATTAATCTTTAAATGTTTATTTTGCCAACTGATCAAGAAATGAGCACTAAGCGTGCCGTTAAAGTTGTCGCTAATGAAAATTTCGTTCGCTATGACTCCCAAGCCAACGTTCCTAACACCCACTGGGTTGGCCCTGGAGCCGCTTTGAACGTGGCAGCAAATATAATTTCCACTCTTTGCTGTGAATAGAAACCTATCCAGGCAGCTACCCGTCACTTTTCAAAGTGAGTTATTCCGGCGCAGCCCTGAATATATTGTAATAATACTCTGCACAATATTTTCCAAATAATAATCTTGTGCGTTGCGTTGGTAATGAGTGCCACGCACGGCATCAGTTCAGTTTCCCTTCAGAATATATGTCAAGATATACATCATTCATCCTTTCTCACTGAAAAACATACAGCAATTCTGAAATACATAATTCAAAGTTACATAATAGTTGTTAGGGAAGACTAGCCTAAAATTTCGCAGCTGAGTAAAATAACACACAGGTGTTATTGTCGTATGTATTCATCGACTGGTTTTAAATTTTGCGCTGATATGTTGGTATGTTGCTTCTAGTTAAAAATGGCGTGTTGATAAAGCGGGGTTTTCAAGCTTTGTGTAAAATGTATGTTTTCTGGTGTTTCTCTCACGATTTTATTTCTCTCAGTTTATCAACTTTATCAGTTCAAGATTTGGGATCATTTTATTGGAACAGATATCCAGTGAAGACTCTGTAAGTAAGTCATAATTAATACTAACTGCTTCTACCGCTGTTTCTGACGTGCATGCATGCGTGCGTGTGTGTGTGTTTTTAGATGGTTTGGGAAACAAATGCAGCCAACCTTGGGGTTAAATGACGCCAGGTTTTTATGTGAACTCTTCACAGACTTCATGTCACAGAGTATTATCCGTTGTTAGTCGATATGTTTACATGGTAATGATCGATTTAGTCGATATGTTTACTTGATCGATTTAATGTTATCACACTTTATCGATTTTTTCTTTGAATCGATTATTGAATATCATTCTTTGTCATTAATAGGAAGGTGCTGCTTTTGCTTTGTGTTATATTCACTGTGCCTAGCATGTTTTTCACCATGAGAAGAATGGATGTACGTAATGTTACCCAGGGCTTAGGACTAAAACGTGACATTTATTTTTAAAAATGCGCACAGGAAGACTAGTTGGCGTATGTGATAAACATTTCTTTATACTACGGACATTACAGATAATATGTGATCATGCATTCAAATGTTAATGTGTTGAACGATTTATATTTATATGATGTAATTTTAGGCCAGTCTCCCGGTTTTACTGCTCAACACAAAACTGCTTCTTCAAATCTGGCCTTCCATTTCATTATCCAAGTCCACGATTAATATCGCAGAACGGTCGGCTAATCTAAAGATATAGGAGTCATTGTGGGAGCTGGGTAACAAGTTTCAGTCCTTCGTACAGAACGAATTTGAGTGGGTTCCGGCCTCCGAAGAAACAGCTAGGGCGAATTCCTTTGCTTTTGTGATAGTTATTTACGTTTTGATTGTTACATTCTATAACGATTCAAATCATTATAATTTCAAAATTTAATAACACATAAAAAAACATGAGAAAATAACATCACACACTCTGTCCCAATTTTACTAGCAATTATGGAACCCTCATTGAAGTAATTGTTGAAACACGCCGTTGCAAGAATGATCAAGGTCATTTTGCGGTTCACGCCAGTTATGTCGAATCACACTGTGGCTTCGGGTGTCATTGTTGTCTTTTTCCCATTGTAGTAATAACAGATTAAAATCTTTGCGTCTCTCTGTTCTCGGTAAGCCAGCATGTTTACAGACAAGCTTGTGGTATGCGACACTCCGTAGGTCTCGACTATAGAGCACAGTAAAAGACTATTATTATAATGAAGCTGAGTACGATACCGGGATGGTTATGGCGCCAAAGGAGACGTTTTCGCAGTCGTCTGCAGTGTGCGTGTGTGCAGAACCTCTTAAAGTTTACTGGTTTAAGCCGGACTGTGGCGCCAATACTTAAGGAGATAATTAAACACGGAGAACGTCTGGAATGTCGTGCTATAGGAATGTTCGTGCAAGGAGGGAAAATATTGTGTTTCTTTTACATGTAAATATAAGAACACAGAAGAAAAGTCGTTTATTTGCAACAGCAGGAAAACAAACCCAGGAGACGGACTACAAGTAGAGTTGATAAATGCTCATATACAAGTAAATGTTTACATTTGTTTCGACCCGTGAGCTTCTGCAAGATCGTAGAGTGAAGTAATGATTGAGATTAACACAGCGGGGTAAAGATGTAAGATTTATTTTTCTTCTTGTGGTCACAGTGCGGGGCTAGTGAATGACCTCATTAATTTTCTCAGGCGATCAGGCGCGTAAGTTCATACCTGACGTTTCGGAGACCATCTTGGTTGATAGTCAACACTGATGATGGAGGCTACAAGAACCTCTGAAACAACGGTAAACTTGGCTTAATAACGCAGAAGACAAGTCGTCTTCAAACTCGGCACCGTGAGAACCCGAAATCTCAGTTGAGGTCGTCTTTTTCTCTTCTAAATTAGGTTTCCGAAAGTTATAAAAATTAATTTATTTCATTATATTGTAGCCAATATATAATTTACTTGTATCATACGCAGGGTTACGTACATGAAAGCTACTTCTTATGTACACATTAGCGGGGAAGGCCAGTCAGTGGTATCTTGACTACTGACTGGATGACCGGGGTTTGATCCCCCTTAGGAGCGAAGGATTTTTTCCTAGCTTCTACATCTGGACCGGCTCTGAGGCCCACCCAGAGGGTACTTGGGGTCTTTTCCCCGGGGGTAAAGCTCTGCTGGGTGACGCTGACTTTTCACATCTTCTATTGTCGAGGTCAACAACGAGACTGGGCTGTACCTCCTCCAAGCACCTCCAAGTTGCTACAGGAAGGGCCTAGAGTCTGATGTCCTCTAAGATACTAACCTTGTTTACTTTTATAAGTTAGCGTCATTCATGGTTCTTGTAGCCTGTATCAAGATGGAAAGATAACCCCGTGTCATGTTACAGTTTTGTATCTGAAAGTAATCATTTGGATCTTCTGTCCGTAAATGACTGACGTGTGTCGTAATCAAATGTCAGCCTTGTAATTGTACAGACATTTTTTACGTGTTAACTACGCGAGCCTAAAGGTTCAAGCCTGTTTGAGCCTTCGAGTAAAAAAGTCTAGTAAGGACGATTACATTACATCGGACGATAAAATTCACACGTGTTGCTAACTTGAAAAATAAGTGATTAGTGTGTGTTGTATTTCTGAACATTATTATGCTAATCGAACTTAGACTTTTTAATTCGTTATATGCATTTTTAGAATTCTGCTGTTATACTTTTAAAACTGTAATTCCACATTAACTATACGACGTTCATCATAGGATCTCCTTGCTATTGTGATATTAAATGTACATAAATACGAAATGTATTTTGAGAATTTTCTGACTTGTTTAAAATATGAAATTTAAGTTATTATAATGTGACGGAAACTTATATTCGTCGAACTTAATGTAATTTTCGTTAGTAATGTGATTAGGCAGTGTAGAAAAAACACCTCTGGTAGAATAGTGACGCTATAGCTGAGGCCAGCAACGAAGGGAGTGGTTTCAAAGTTGATTTAATTCTGGAATGTTGCCCGCATGCTCTAGAAGCCTGGCAGTCTGTCTACCTGCATACACAACGCAGCTAACCACCGGATAAATGCGCTCGTAATGACTTAACAGATTTTGCTGGTCTTCATCTATAATTTTAGTAAAACGATTATAATTCTGAAACATCATCAATTAGCTAAAAATTCATGCTAAGAGTGTTTGCGTCCTTCTCAGAGATCAATATTATTTGTTAGCCGGAAAATTTATCAGCTCCATCAAGAAATATAAATAAAATAGTCGTATTTGTAAAAATATTTGCGAAAATTATTCTTGCTTTACTCTTAAGTTAATATTTCACTATTTTATTTCAATTATACCGGATGTAAGAAAACTGGTTTCTTCTGATTTCTTCATATATTTCGCATCTGGAATGTATCAGATTGTTTCAGTAATTTGGGATAGTGTGTTCTTTGTTTTTTTTTTCTGTTTGCATAATTCGTGCAAACGGCTGTGAGACTTTATAGTCAAACGTTGTGTTTATACGCATTACAATCAATAGGTCATCAGGGTGGTGATTAAGTACGTGAGGGCTGGCGTCCAATATCCTGGTCTGGTGCAGACTTTCGTACTTCTGCCACGACAAATTACAGCACCATCGCTCGTTAAACTTACAGGCATGCGCGAAGCATCACTCAGTGCTGTATTTAAATGGCATATTTTCTGTATGATTTGACAGAAAAGAAATTTGGCGTTCGTTCATGTTGTACCCTGAAAGGCGAAATCTCGAACGTGAGTGACCTGGCCTATGACGTCATCATAAGCGCAGTTGCGAGCAAAAATGGTATAAGTTTCGTTTGTTAAAATGTCTTTATTTTATTCATTGAATGTGTGTATACATATTTTTGAGACACCCTGAAATTTATTTCACGACATAACCCGCTTTTTCACTCAAAGATTCAGTCTGACATGCGCCTGATCGCTTATGCCGTCCTGATGTACAAATATGTCGGAGAAGTTGCCGATTATGTACGGCGCGCTGTAAAGATCACCCACAATAGAGACTTGCGTGGCAAAAATAGAAGGAAGGCACTAGCATGAATAAGACACCAAATCCACATTTGCTTTGAATTCGTTTTTATAGTTCCAAATTTAAAAGTGGTTGTTTATTTAGACGCCTGTTTCAATTTGTAATAGATGGTTGTACTCTCACGTGTTTTTCAAATATATGCATTACGGTTTTACATGCCTGATTGGGTGTCGTGTTCATTTATTACTGTTGAAATCATCCTTCGTTGAGAGATAATTAATTACATATTACTTCTTTTCCCTGTAGTTAAATTTTTAGCCTCGATAATTTAAATATTGTATAGGGCATGTTTCAGAAATATTTTGAATTACTTTACTTCTGCTAACTTCGTTTACATTTTGGTTACTATTGGCTAATGGGAATAGAATTAATAACTTAAATAATTTTGAAATAATAGATAAACATTTATGTGTTTCAGATATCTTGCATAATATTTGTTAATAGTCGCAAATACATTTTTTTTATAATATCCGTTATACCTAACATTTATTAAATACAGAAACACAGCACTATTTAAGAATTGTGAATATTTTCTAAGTTACACATTACACCTGTTTTTTATTAACTTTTTAAATGATTTGTCGAAGTAAAAGATTTTCCTCGTGTAGAACAACAACAAAGTAACGTAGCAGTCGAATTCCGTTACATAAATGTTATATAACAATCATATTACAATCTAAATAATGTGTCATGGGTTTCAATATTTTACTTATACGAAACACTAAGATTTTCTAAGATTATCACTGTTTAAGCACAATTGTAACTACGACCCTCCTACTTCAAGAATCTCTCTATTTTCTATTTATGGGTTTCGTATGATTCTCCCTATAAACAGGGATTATTTCCTTAAACAGCGTTAACCAGTTGATTTGTGATGTGTTTTCTTTGTGGTACGGACTGAATTCTTATTAAGTATCATTTAGACGAACTTTTTCTTCAAAGGGTTAATATTTCCTCAATCAGTTAGTGAAGGTTGGACATACAGTGTCTCTGCATATTGAAAACTAATGACTTTAAGACAGTGGGAAGTACATTCCTGCAACGTCTTGACGTTTTAGGGTTTTACGCGG